TTGCCTGGGGCTACTGTACAGTAGATACAGTATACTGCTGTTGAAAGGATTCCATGGGGATGTGTCTCGTAACTCTATTGCTTTAAATTGTGTCCACATGCTGGAGAAGTTGGAGAGGGTTTCTTTTTGCTATACGATGAAGTAAACATACCTTCACCGTGCCAAAGCAGAGTGAGAGCGTACCCCACAAGCAGAGACGTTTGATTGCTCTTGCAGAGTCTCTTTCTCAAGACTTATGTTTACGCCTTGAGTTAAAACATTTAACAGCTTTATGATGAAGTCAGTCACTGAGGACCTTTCCTTCGTTCTCACACTCCCTGCAGAGTTCATGCAAACAAAGGGTGGAAGGGAAAATTATTTGATCACAGTAGCAGTAACCACTGCACTCTATTTCCAAACTTGTGAATCCAGTCTGGTAAAGTTAAGATTTATTCTGGAAAATTACTCAGAACATATTCATTTTGTTAGAATTATCGTCATTATGTTGTCTTTCCAGTTTTCTTTATTTAAATTCAGACGCTAAAATAACATTAATGGCTAACTTTGTTTAAATTCTGTATGAATTCATTGTTGTCTACTGTTCATGGTGCCTCAGTACTTAATTGTTGATGTAATTGTTATTATTCATTGAAAAAAGTTTAATGAAGAAAAAATCTATAGTTGTAGAACTTTGTGTGCGCATGGTTTGAATAACCCAGAGCATGAAGACATTTCAAGGCTAAATTGCATAAACTACTATGGAAAAAGAAATCCAGAAAGCATATGGCTGTAGTTAGAGTTAGATACCTCTAGACTGAGACTGAGACCTTGGGCTGAGGGCTTCAATTCCAAAGGGAGCATTTACGTTGGATTTACTTCAATGTCATTTAAGAGAATGCAGGATAATACTTCGACGTGTAAAACCCCGAACATGCACGTGAAAGAAAATTGTCTTTTTGCGTCAGCGTTTGTTTTCGCTGGCCGAATTTTGTATCAACCCAGTGTTAGTGACATTAATGTGATTTTGTTCTGCATAGGTTTTCTAACCCCTTCCATCAACACCCACCTGCTTCAGGTTAGGACCTAAGGGGGTGGCTGCTAGTTTCTGCCTGCCTGAGTGCACAGAAACCACAGGACAGCTGTACCAACACACTGCTTATTATCCTGTAATGCTCTGATCCTCATGCGTTTCTGCACCCCCACAGCAAGAGATCTCCACTCTTACATCAACGTCAAACAGCTATCTCTGAGTTATACTAATGAACGTGTTTATGTGCCATAAGCCCTCAAAGTAAGTGTCACACTTAATGTTTGGAAAGTCAAGATTGTTACATTCTTGAAAGCATTGATAGTGATCATAGCAAAGAGAACTCACCGTGATATTCATCAGTTTCTGCTTGAGCTATTTATATGACACCTTTTTACCATATATAGTTCCATTCCATGCAACATCTGTCCTTGTGGACTAATATACTTTATGTCTGCTTCACTTGATTAGGATGAGATAACTATTAACACATGGCAGAATAACAGAATCATAGTTTACACTTTGTAGGCTATTGTTGTAAGTCTCCCAAGTATGAATGGAATGTTATTAAAACTTGATTAATATGTACAGACTATAAATATTTAGATAGTTCCACTTCTTTTTACATCTTGCTCAGTGTTTCAATGCCAACATTTTTAAATGAAATAACTGGCACCAAACTGGTATCAAGGGTGAGGTAATAATTGATGAATGAATAAGGTGTTTTAAAAACAGCACACAACATATATATCAAAGACATCTAGTCTGTATTTTATGGAAGTTATTTAGGGGTAGGGAGTAAGAAAAAAAGAAAGGGTAAAAAAACAGCTCACAAGACAAAGCATCTCACCACATGCTATGAAATACTGCTTGGATACTCTGGCATTTATTGATAATATTATTGTTGATGGGATGAATACAAAAGTATGCAGAACCAAATCCAACCCTGATAATTCACCCAAAATCATTGTTACACATTTAAAAATTCAGTAAGACAACTTTACTTTCCATTGTGTGAAATCCAAACGAGTTGCACTATGGTTTGTGAAGGCCAAACAACAGATTTCCCCACACATCAGCAGAAAAGATCTTCAATATTTGCTCCTATCGGAGATTTTTAGGGTTTCAGTGACTCATCAACTGCAAAGCAGTACACACAATATTCAATATTGTAATATTTATTTGATTTAGTGTATTTTAACATCATTTTGAAGCAGTAAACTTTCAGCAATATCAAGGTTTACAGCATGTCTAACTGCTCTTTCAGTGGGAAAATACATCATACTGGTGCTGAGACAGAAGCATCAAGCCTGAAGATGAAAAGTAAATAGAAAAAGTATAGCTTTTGATCTGGGCTGTTCACTTTGAGAATGTCTGTGAATAGTGCTGCAAAGTTGGGAGGATTTCTTTGTTTATGACAAATACAAAAAATGAAAGCGAATACAATTCAATTTAGGTCTCTGAATAAAATGCTGGGAAATGTAGCAGAGGTTCATTTTACTCTGAATTGTTGATGGATGAGTGGATGAAATGGCCGATCACTGTGATCTCCAAAGGCAGAGCCTCATGCCATGTATGTGTACTGCCAAACAGATGTTAAGCCTGCTTGGAGAAAAGCAAACCTCTGTCTTGAGGCGTTGCATCTACGGGATGTATTTCCCAAAACTGTCTTTTTTCGGTGACAGCATATCTGCTTGGAAGTTGGAAAATAAATTTCCTCCTGTTATTCCGCTCCCTCAGGCGAGTGAAATGTTCTTGTTCCACCACACATCACCTCGCCACTCACAATTAGACCTTTTTTCTCGTGTGAATTTTAGCACCGATTTCTGAGGGAATTTGACTGTTGAACTACACATCATAACCTAAAAGATGTAAATAATGTTATCCTTTGGTTAAAGAATTAAAGGTTAATATCTGATAAAATGGCTGTCTTTACTATCAGCATTCGCTTGACAGTCATCGATGTATCAGAATCTGTCATGCATCTAAAAAATGATGCAATGAGATTGCAGGGAGATTAATCAGAGATGATTATATTTCAAAGTATTGCCAAGTTTAAATGCACCCCACCAAAATGCAAAAATTCGATCCTGATTGAATTTCCATGGCCAGAAAATACAATTTTTTTGTGTTATAGATTTTACATGTATCATCTAAAAGATTTAGAATCACACTGTGTTGTTATGGAACATTTTTCTAAAAAGTATATCCTTTAAGGAGAAAAAAACACACAATGCAACGCGTGGGTGGGTGGGATTGGGGTGTCCTCCGGCTGCTATTGCTGAGTGTCCTGGGAGGGATCAATACCTTACAAGATAGACGCTGTTAATGGTGTTCATGTTAATGAGGATGCATCACACAAGGTCTGACACCAAATGTTGCATTATTTATTAAGTACTCAGCCATGATGATATCCTAAAATGCTTTTGGGTGTATATGAAAACAATTGTTTTTCGACAACACACTCCGAGCCAGCTTGAGGCATAAACATTTTAAGTGTATACTCAGGCCGTTAAATAGAACATGGCAGATAAAATTTTATTTTAAGTGTGGACAAGTCTCTTGGTTCACTGGTAAGGTCCTGTGGAATTTCATTTATTTTTATGTAAATTGTATTTTTACTATTTTTTTTATTTTTTATTTTTCTAGGCCATGAATTTAAAAGTATTATTCACCATGTTGAGATAACAACTGAAGATCACTCAAGTCTTTGAGCTTATACTTGAACTACAACTCAAATATGTATTTAGATCATTTTATAAATACATTTGCACTTGAGCTTGTCCAAATACAACCACCTCAACTCAAATGAGATTTGTTGGAACTCACCCTCTCTGCCATGCCTTTTAGTGTACATATCTATACAGACAACATAAATCCTGCCCTTCTTCTTTATTTGAAAAATGATCTTTGTGTGGCTGCACGAGATATTACATGATACATTATAGATGAGGTATAATATGAGCTTCATTCTGCACTTTCACTGGTGGATTCTCCTCATCTTTAAATGACTAAAAATTTTATCTTAAGCTTCACTTTTCACCTTTAATCTCTATTGGAAATACATTTCCTTTACATTTCTGTAAATAAATGCCCTCAACTTAATTGAGAGAAACGGTACTTCTCCAGATTTATGATGATATATTATATAATATTCCTTTGTGATCACTTTCCTTAAGGTGAAAAAAACAATAAAATCCTTAAATGGAGTGCTTATGTCAACTATACCTTGAAAGTCAATAAATCACTGGAACAGAAATTAAAGGATTTTACTATTTACAAGGGTACTTAAGATGTTTGGAAATTGTGTTTTGTTCTTTGAATTTCTGAGAAAGAATTGCAAAAGAAGATTTAACAACCTCTTTTTCCTCTTATATGCCTCATTCCACTCCTTAGTTTGTGGTAAAGCTGCTTGATCACTTTGTATCTCTGCTGTTGGTCAACCTTTATGTTAAAATACTTAACTATGTGAAGCCACCTTTTCGAGGGAAAAAACAATCGATTTAAAAAAAGATTATGTATAGATGGATAGGAATGTCAATCACTAAAAATATGCACAGTATTAAAATTACAACAATCCCAAAATGGAATCTGGTCATATTTATACATAATCTATACAGGATTGTTAAGTCCACATACCATCTCCCTTGTGGTAACCTTTTTAAGAACAAGTGACCTCTGTGAGTTCGAATATTTTTATTTAGATTAGTTTGTATGATTCAGTTATGTTGATGATGACAGCACTGGGACAGACAAACCCAACACATACCGTAAGAATAATTTACAATAAAATACTACACAATGAAAAAATCTAAATGACCTCTCTCAGAACTGTACAGAGAGAGGGAGAGGAGAAAAAGAGAAACAGATAACACTGTGATGGGCTGTCTGTTTATAGTCAATCCTGGCAGTTTCCTTCCGGGGAAATTAAAAACAGGGGAGGGCAATATAGACATTGGAAGGATGCGGAGCTTCAGCAAAGCAGACATTCAGCTGGACCCAGCAAGTGCTCTCTAGTTCCCGAAAATACGGCGCAGGGGATCATTTTCAACGTAAGCTCTTTCTTTTTTTAAAAGACAGCTTGATTTGGTAATCTGTCTGTAATAATTAGAAAAATATATTAAGTGCTCAGAGATCTGAATTATGCATAGTTTTGTTTTTCTGCAGACGCGGCCAAGTTTCGGAGGACAAAACAATCCACCCAGAAAAAAAGAACTAAAACTTTAACGGAGTGAAGTGGTCGCACTTGGATTGTGTCTGTACACCAAACTGCTTTATCTCCCTTTGATCCTGAATCCGGGAGTGTAATGTGACCACAGCTGGCACCAAAGTGATGCCTTTACGCACGATGGAGAGTCTTTTACGCGAGCTTGACTTTTGGTCCCTCAATGTTTCATGGAGCAACTCAAGTCGAGGTAATGCAAGTCATATAGGAAACACCACTGTGAACCCGTTAAAACGAAATGAAGAAGTGGCAAAAGTTGAAGTCACTGTTCTTGTCCTGGTGCTCTTGCTCGCTCTGACGGGCAATCTGTGCGTCCTGTGGGCGATACACACCACCAAGCACAGCCACTCCCGGATGTATTACTTCATGAAGCACCTGAGCATCGCGGACCTTGTTGTTGCAGTCTTTCAGGTCTTACCGCAGCTCATCTGGGATATCACCTTTCGCTTCTATGGACCCGATTTCCTCTGCAGGATGGTCAAATACCTACAGGTTGTGGGGATGTTTGCGTCTACCTACATGCTCGTCCTGATGTCCATCGATAGATGCTTAGCCATCTGCCAACCACTGCGCTCCATGAACAAGGGGAAAGATCGCTTTTGGGTGATCGCGTCTTGGATGCTAAGTCTAGTTTTCAGCACCCCTCAAGCTTACATATTTTCTCTCAGGGAGGTCGGGAACGGTGTGTATGACTGTTGGGGGGACTTTGTGCAACCATGGGGTGCCAAAGCATATATCACATGGATGAGTCTCAGCATCTACATCCTTCCAGTGGCAATATTGAGCATTTGTTACGGATTGATATGTTTTAAAATATGGCAGAACATCAATACAAAAACCAAAAGAGGAATTTTTCTGTCCCCCACTCCAAGGCCGTCCAAAGGCGCTTACGCACTCTCGCGTGTCAGCAGTGTGAGGCTCATTTCAAAAGCTAAAATCCGCACAGTGAAAATGACATTTGTGGTGGTCCTTGCTTACATTGTGTGCTGGACCCCCTTTTTCTTTGTTCAGATGTGGTCTGCATGGGATCCGGCTGCACCAAGAGAAGGTAATGGCGTATTTGTTTTACCTATATATACTAAGAATGCACAAGATATGCAATCCGAATAAACCGGAGGAAAAGGTCGACTAACCGCTGTGTATCACGTCACATTTAATCAGTCAATGACATTATTTATCACGTGAAAAGTAGCTTCCGTTTAATATACATATAGTGGCAGTAACGCAGGGTCAATAAAGATTGTTTACAACTGTTTTACTTTAAGTGTCTGATTAATCCAAATGTAATTTATTCAAGTCACAAAATCTACCTGCATGAGCAATCTCTTCTTTTTTCACTTAATTTGAATGACTATTTAAACAGATTTCCAGATTGAACTGCTTATTTGGAGTGTTATTTACAGTGGTTATTAGTGCAGACAAAGTCCTCAGCACCACAGGAAATGTACAGCACCTCAAAGTGTTTCTCAGTTCCCAGTGATAATGTCCATGTAACAATTTGTATTTGCCTTTTTCATTTCTGCTTGGTTCTTCATTTAAGGGAGCAAGAGCAGCATGGTATATTCCCCCCACATTTAAAAAAAAAGTTTGTTGTTTTCGAAGGTTATGTCAATATTCAGTCAAACTAATGAGACTCTTATGTGTCTCGAGTAGCCCAAAGTTATTCATCAAAATTAGGCCAGTAAATCGACTGAGGTGTAATGCACGGACTGCTACCGTATGCATCTTTGCTGTAACCGAATCCCAAAGTTCTTTAGAAACACAGAGATGACTTACTCTATACTCTAAATGTTGATGTTTCACATTCATAACAGTAGACTGTGAAACGCTCAACTGTGCATTAATTCAACACGTATCCTAAATGCCAGCATTCAATTAGCCAATTAAATCTATCTGAATCTTAATGTTTTGTTCTGCTGAAGAAGTAAAAGAATGTCCCAGCAAGTTATTATAATTATATGAATCATAATTACTATTATTGATGGATTATATGACTTTTTCCAGGTATAAACAACAAGGCAACATGACTTAAAGAGCCACTTCTTTAAAACAAAATCCAAAGTAATGCAGTGATCTAACATTTATTCAAGACATGGACAAAGTTCTGAACTATGATTAGAATGCTTTCATAAACTGAATCACGAAAATATAAAACAGAGAGATATTAAACCCAAGTTGACAAAAACTATTTAAATCACTCGTTAAAAATTTTCATGCAATAATATCCTGATTTCATCATTCCTTTTGTCAGTGCCAGAGCCAGCAAATCAGCCGTGTAGTATTATAGAGCCTCCATGATGTTTCTCTGTTGCTGTAGCTTTTCATTGACTTTGAAAAGCTCCGTATTTTTAGTTGGTATTATTACAGAAATCAAATGAACCATCGAAGGGTTCTCTTCAATTTCTTTTATAACTCTTGAATGTGTTGACGGGAAAAAAAGGCCAAAATGATGATGCATTATGTACATATATTTTTTAAATGTTCTTCTTCATATGATTATAATGCTTCTGCTACTCTGAGTAAGCTAAACTCTGATCATATCAGCCCTAAAAATTAAACACAGCTGAAAACTTCAACTCCCCCAGGAGCTACTTTAAATTAAATTAAATCAAAATCTCTCCAGCAATCAAGTCTGGGATGGATTTTGTGCTTACGTTTTTCATTTAATTACATGGGGACCTTTTTTGTTGATGATGGACAATTGGTTTTGGTAAATCTAAGGAAAATCTGAATGTTAAGTGGCTCATTTATTTCAGGATACCTTATCTTGTCTGGAAAGATTCATGATCGATTGACTCACCAAAGCTACATTATTCAACTTGTAATGAATTCCTAATGATTATAAATAAGCCATTATGAGTACAGTTTAATTACTTTCTATTAGATTTTTAGTAAGACTTCAAAGGTAGCCATCCATCTAAATATATGAATGGAAGTAAGAAGTACAGATTTATCTGACCTTGTTTTTATACTTGCTGAAATATCTTTAAACACAGTAGTGCTACCCAGGTTCTGACTGTGTGTAGGCGTTCAGGTGCCCAGGGCATTCGATTAAAGTGTGAAAACCATAAATCTTCTGCTGCGGGGTTTGAGCGTCAGCAATATCATCTTTCTACAAAACTTCTAAGGATTCACTAATAGAAGAATTTAACTTTTTTATTTATTTATTTCAAGTGACGTTTAATTACCTATTTATTCCAGAAAGTATATAGTATTCAAAGAAATCTTTAAATAATATTGTGTGCTCCCCAGATAAATGGCAAGAGATCCACCACTGCTCTTCCTCTGCACTTCTGTCCATTTTCCCAACATCTTTACCGAAAACTCCAGTTTATTATAATGACAGAAATGCTGCCAAGAATAATGTTTTTGTTTTTGTTTCTGGCATCATAGAGTAAAAAGGAAAAGGACTGCATGCTTTCATTTTGTGATGTTTAAGAGAGCTGTAGTTCCCAAGGCCATGAATTCATGCGCTAAACAATCATACATCTCGAGACACGCTGTTTGACTTATCTGTTAAACAAACACCTTTCAAAGTTGTGGTTATTTGGTAAATGCTACACAAAACCCAGCTCTCAAATAAAGTATTACAGAGAGTCAAGAGTCAGACATGAAGGGAGCAGAGAAGAAGGTAACACATTCTAAATCTCCTTTTCCCCATTAAGGATTGAAGAAAAAAAACTTTGGAAGACTTCCACTTTCCCCTCTTCAAACTATTTGCTGCCTCAAAGCAGATAGTGCTCCGGAGCTATAAAAATTGAAAATGTAATAGGCCGAGTAAAGGAGAGGGTATATATTTCAACCCAGGACTGCCTCTTTTAATAAGCCGTATGTCATCTTTGTGTCTGCTTGAAGCTCTATCAGCGTGGCATCCATTAACCTCTTGTGTGTTTTAATCGTCGTAAATGTTTTGTGGGCTGTCTGATATGGCTTTTCGTGTCAGCTCATATATTTCTAAATGAACTGCGACTTTATGGAGTGATGAAATGGGAAGCTCACAATGGCCCCTACATGCTGACAGATAAACAGTTCAGCAGCCTGATGATTTCACAGCCTAATAATACATTAAAGTACATGGTGATGGCATATATCTGACCAAATTTATTTATAATTCACATCAAAACTATGAATATATTCTAATTTTTTAAAACGTGTTTGCTGAAGAAATGGGTTTCTAAATATTATTCATAACATCATGATGTTATAAGAATTTTGGGCTTGAGCTGCTGTGGGACTGCAGTGGAGAAAAAGCTGCCAGTTTAGAGACTCTTTAGACCATCTGTACTGTCTCTGGTTCTCTGTTTTTCCTCACTCTTTTTGGTCATGCCGAGCATCGGCCAATGCTGTCTTCATTTCTATTTCTGCCCCAAATCCAATTAAGAATTTTAAAATATCAGCTTAAATCTGTCTAACACTTTTCTGTGGTTCTATTTCCCTAATAAGTTGACTCTTATATAACAAGGACTTGACCAATTCAGCTGTCACTGTTTTTCTTTTTTAAAAACCACAGATGTGTTCAGATCTCATAGCTTAGTCTCTGAAGAAGGAAAAAAAGTGTGACGGATATACGTGTCCACATATCCAAAACAGAGAATTGTCATGCTTAAGTTGCAGAATTTGTGTCATGGTAACATTTTCCTGTTTATACAATGTGATGCCAGAATATGGCTTCGTATTTGTAAATGTTTATTTCAAACTGTTAGTTCATCCCCAAATTTATCCAACTACAATTGACAGGGAAGTTGAGAGTACAAAGTCCTTCGAGCTCAAGTCAGACTATCTTGGTTTACTTACATGACATTTGGTAAAACACCAACATTCATCGCCTCCTACAACCTTCTGTGATTTAAAAAATATTTCACATGATGAAAACATGGACATGTTGCAATACTAAAAGGCAAATAAAACAACACAGTACTGTTAGAGCCTACTCAGTGCAACTGTTTTTCTGACTAATGAGTCTTTGTTGAAAAATGTGAGCCAGCACATTACATACACACTCCAGAGGGAAACTGCATTGTATCTCAGAATCTTTCAGCCTCAGACATGTATAATCTCTGTGTTTCTGCAAATGGTGGGACAACAGGCCCGAGGGATAGTCTTATCAACAAAGCAAACAAGTCTACAGTTGGAAGTTGGAAGTTGGAGTTACGTGGTGAAACGTATTGCCTTGCCAAACCCTTTTATCAGTGGTTTACTAGCCACCATGCGGCTCATGGTGGTTTTCAGCTGTATTTTGATTTGCTGGTTTATTAAATGTAAATTTTCTTTGAGCTCTGGCTTCATATCTTCACACAGTTTTATTGTCATTCTATTATATTTTTTTCTACACCCTTCTTGGTGTTAAGGAGGCTTCCTGGTTGGATAGGATGTCCTACTCATGTTGTTCAGGAAAGTGTCACTCCTAGCATTTATACACTAGGGGAATAAAACATTGCCAACAAATGCACACACACAACAGCGGCCATATTACACCTTCAGCTGATAACGTGTGTTAGGTAAATATCTGGTATCTGTTTGCTGTCTGTTCATGAGCTATTTATGCTGATGATGTCTGCTTTGCCATCCTTTGATAGAACACATTGCAAACCAAACAACTGTGTGATGTCAACGAAATATAATGAAAAAAAAAGAACTGAGTAAACGTTATGCTGACGTCAGTACCTCTGTTTGTACTGTTCATGAGAACACACATCTTTAAAATGTTGCCGACTTAAGGATCAAGTCCTCCAAAAGATCCTTGAAATCAAAACAAGATTTCCACTGTCCAATCTTAGGCCTTTTCGGACGAAAGATGATTATTGTGTGACAATGATGGTCCTCAGTCATAGTCTCAGAGGGGTTCAGAGATGGTTACTGTCAAGGGAATCTTGCCTTACATATGTTTTGGACGACAGATAGTGTTTACGGAACAAGACAAATCATGCCATGACTAAACAGATTAAACTTGTTAGTTTGAATGCTCCATGCCTGATTATGATTTCTCGGGGGATTTATCCTCCATGAGAATGTATGAAACTTGTTTCAGATACTGTCTAAAATAAGAAAAAACAAAAAACAACTTAGATAATCTTCCGCTTCTCTCCTTAGATATGGCCTTCATCATCGCCATGTTGCTGGCTAGTCTCAACAGCTGCTGCAACCCCTGGATCTACATGTTCTTTGCCGGTCACCTGTTCCATGATCTGATGCAGTGCTTCTTGTGCTGCCGCAGAGAGTACCTGACAGACTCTTCCTGCAGCTGTGATCAGCAGTGCAGGCACAAGAGCAGGTCCTCTATTAACGTCATCAAGAACGCCAGCAGTCGGAGGAGCCTCACGCACACGTCTAGCACTGGGGGGGCAGCACACAAAGAGGCCAGCTGAGATCCATCCAGGCTTCCTGTGGCTGAATTATCCAGCAGTCATGCAAGCCTCTATTTAAGGCATTTAATCATCTACAGCAGAGCTGCGCGGGCTGTTGTACAATGCTTGTTGTCAAATATTTCAAGCTAAGCCAAACAGTAAATATAAACCTTGTGTACGGTAAAAGGCCTGTACCCAGTGATAACAGAAAGCAGAACAACAGCCTTTTGTGTCCGAAGTATGTACGGCCTAAGTATGATGGGAGGAAAAATGTGAAACCCAGTTCCATCTCTTATATCATGAGTTTGTCAAAAAGAATCTCAAGGCGACCGTGACTTTTTGGATGGAAAACATTGGTTTAGTAAAAGCTGTGTCTGAATAAACTGACTTCACTGGCGCTTATCAGTTGTTGTAATGTACATGCTGTAATGTAATGCACATGTGAATGCTGTGAGCTGTGGCATGGTTTAATGTTCTGTGTGAGTACAGTCGTACAGTTGGACAAATGGATGACCTTTTGGTTTTTGAAAGATTAGCTTCAAAAACATATTCTATCTTAACATTTAAAACAGCTATCAACCTTTAAGATACATTTTTGTCCTCTTTCCCCTTAGCTTACTGCTCCATGGGTTGCTCTGATTTGATTGTATTGGTTTTACTCAGAGTTAACGTCAACCCTTAGGGCTGACTTAAGTGTGTTTCATCTTATCAGCTGGTGGCTGTATTTTGTGGAACGGATCAGTCAGCGTTTGTCTATGAGTTGTCAGTTTAACTTTTCAAGTATTTTCTTTATGTGTGTCCTGATCATTTTTTCACCAGCTCTTTTTTTTCTTTAATTAGATGATGATTTTCTTCTCCACTGTGCATGCTTTCTGATAACTAAAAACACAATGAGTCAAATATTGTCCAATAGATTTAGACGATGTAAATTAGATGTACATTGTGTGCATCTTGATTGTCTCATTATTTTAAAAGCAACAGCTCACACTGATGTTTGGAAACTGTTAACCATGTAAAATTTCTCCACAAATAAATACGCACTAATTGGTTTTTTTTTTCTTTGTTGGTCTTATTCACTCCGTGGTTTTCTCCTTCTCAATAATTATGTTTGAAGTTCTCTTTATCAAAAGGTTTTTTTCAAAAGCTATATAGAAGAAAAAGATCGAAGAAAGAAATAAAAAGTTATTGTGAGGACTTAGTTATCCACAAACTTTAGATCTCAATGTGTGGCACCTTGTTTCAATAAATCTGCATTTGAGGAAAGAATGGAAAGTTGATAAGAAGGTCATTCACGTTTGCTTAACATGTACGTGGATCCCTCTTGATCGTCGGCTCCTGGCTGTCAGCTGTCGACTGATATGGGAGTGGCAGTGTGTCAACAGTGACATGCCTCTAAGATACGCCAGACCACGGGTGCCAGAAAGCAGCTGCCAGTGACAATTATCCCTCAGAGTAAAAAAAATACACAAAACCTGTTGCATGAAATCACATGACGTGTCGCTTTTTAGTACAACCACGTAGTTAATCTACTGTTAAACTTCACCCATAATAAAGAACCGACCCTCCAAAAGGTGGGAGAGAAATATGACTCGTATAAGTGTTTCCACAGTCATTATAAAGAATGTAAATCTCGATGAAGGAAAGGCTATAACTATGCATACTGCCTTGAAAAACATACTTTTTGTGATGCTTGGCCAAAATATGAAAAATAATATTTCACTTAAGTTCAAATAATAACCAACAATCACTTTGCTAAAACTCATCTGTGACATCCTACTTAGAGTGACACAAATACATTGAATCGCCACAGTGAAAATTCATATTTTTATGTCATCATTGTGGTGGACATCTTTAAGAAGTCATCCTGTTCATATATCTACAGGTATATCATTTTGAAAAGAATTTTCATGTGTCACACAGGACACAGGAAACAGGACATGTAACAATAAATTATATTCAGTCATCTCTCTTAACAACAGTTGTGAATCTGTAATCGATCATTTTAAAAGGTAATGTAGAAATTCTGAACCACACTTTTTTTCCAGGTTAATGTATTCAATGTTTGCTCCTCATTTTTCTTTTTTTCTTTTTTTGCAATCTGTACTTCTCGTCACTGTTTTCCCTCACAGTAAATTCTTCTTATTTTGAATTGTATGTTTTAGGTCTGACAGTAGAAAACTGATTTGCTGCTAAAAGGCTGTGGAGCACACATAAATTTGATCAAGTTAGAGAGGCACAGTCAGCACATGCGATTTCTTAAGTGAGAAGATAGGGCATTAATTTCCAAGAACTTCTAACCCAAGACCTCAACTTTTTATCAAACACATATGACTTTTCAAAGCCTAAACACAAATCTAAACATTGGTTAGAAGTGATTTTTGAAGTATTACCACTGCATTTAGGTACAAGTTGAAAAGAAACCAAGCCCATATGTTATAAGAGACCGTAAAACATTTCATAGTCCATACCAGTCCTGATAAAATTCAGTTACGTGATCATGTAAAAATTATACATATTTAAGGGGACCAACAGATCCTGTTGCTGTTTTATTAGGGCTGGAGAACCATGGAGATGTTTGATCTATTTTTTCTAAACAGTAAAAAATAAAAATAACTATTTTTTGGCTTGATTCATATGACAAGAGGTGTTTCTGTCGTGAGTTAATCCAGTCTGCATGAGCTTCTCTTGCATGAATGTCATTCTTTGGCCAGGTGAATGCTGAAGCTTCCAAAACATCTCTCTGCACTTCTAAGGAAAGGACCCACAATGACATCCAGCAGAATGCTCCACAGGCTCTGCAGCCAGTGGGTGCCAACACGGACACACCGGATACAGGGTCCAATCATCCTGTCACAAAAACAAACACACATACAAAGATGGCAATGAAGGATCTTAAATAATATCAATATTTAATAAAAGCACTTTTTCCTTAAAAGAAAAAAAATCATAACCATTACCTTTTAACTCCTCTGTTTTTCTGTAAAGATGATGTACCTAGAGGAAATCTAGGACAGGCTCTTTTGCATTCTCCACTTGCTGAAAAACTCATCTCATGTGATAGCTTAATACCAAGATAATGGTACACATAATAAGGTAGTTAATGTGTAATACCTCTTGCTGTACCACTTTTGTAGTTTTGAAGAAAACAGAATTATTTTAGATAATAATTTGAAGGGAAGAAAGAATAAAAAAGATGTGTGATAATTTTTACTTCTTAAAACCTTTACAGAAGAAAAAGCAAGAAACTTGTCTTCTAATGCTCAAATCACAACTAGAGATACCAGCTACAGTCCATAATTAACTGTTGCTGAACACATCCAATGAGAGAAATAACTGGTCAAACAAATGTGTCAGTTTTGTGGATGACCCACAGTTAAGCACTAACTGTTGTTGACAGCTTGTATGAATAATTGTTCACCAGACAGTTTAAGGAATACACCAAAAGAAACACAATTATTATGTTTAGTTCTTTCATTTAAATCATTTAAATGATGAAGATCCAAACCTACCAGATGTGGAAACAGCTGAGAATGGCAAAGACGAAACCAGAGAGAACTGACATGGGAATAGCCAGAAGAACCGTTACTATTCGGTAGATCCAAACCCTGGATACCTCAAATAAAGCATTGCTCCAGATCCACACTCTGTCTCCACTGCGTACTGACACCGGTTCAGCTATCACATCCTCGAACGTGACCTGAGTACAAAGACAAAGTGTTGATGCTCACAGTATCCCCAGTTTCTGGTTGACATGATTAATTATATCCACTGGAGGGCAGTGCAATCAGCTAAGGAGCAGCATGGAGATTTTTTACTCTGCATGAGAAATGCATCTATTAAATATATAATATATTCAATCCATCCACTGTATAAGCATGCTGTACCTTGAGGCAGTCATTGATACCTCGGGGGTCTCGGATGTTAATCAGAGGCTTGGTGTCACTGATTTCCACTAACGTAGATGTGTGAATGTTTTCCTCTTCTTCCAAAGACGGCTGAGCTTTCCACAATGACTGAGGTTCCAAGCCATTTTCAAATTCTTCAGGGTCACTGGAGTCCCCCAAATCAATTTCCATTTCCTCTGAATCTTCTCCTTTCATCATGGTGTCCAATCAAACATAAGAAAACACTGTCCAACAAGAGCAGAGTGGATGATTGTTACTTCAGTAACAGCCAACTGAGTCCACTGACCAGACCCCTCCTGCTGGCTGGGCACTGAGGTTATATTAGGAACATTGCAGTGCCCTGCATGGTATTTGCAGATGGTCTTTCAAGAGAAGATTATTTTCCTGGGCAGTGTGAAGGAAAGAAGGGATAGGAGTGGATAAAAATACTGAAGGCATGGAGATAGTTCTGTTTACACTGTTACAATGTAGTGGGAATATAATCAAACAAAAAAAGATACAGTATACATACAAATATACCAGCATGGAAGCAATAGCAAAAATAAAAATAGAAATATATAGAAATTAAATCCCTATTTTACTAGTTCTGAGACTCAAATTATTTTCTGACTTTTTGCAGGATAAGGATGCCTAAATGGCTAAATAATACTGCCTCCTTCTGGCATGAGGAAGTCAGCCACCATTTCCTCACAGGACTGACATCCAGTTAACCCCATTTTTAAGCTAGTTATTTTGAAACTAGACACCAGAGGTACGGTAAAATCTTTTAAAATATTATCAGCCACACTTTATCCTCAGACTTTAAGTTATATGTTGCTAACAGACAAAATGCATACTATCAGTGATGGCTGTCTGCACATTTGTGTTTCTTTAATGCTGACGTATCTTTCACAGATTTTCTTTTGGCAAATTACATTCCTGACAGGCTGTGTATGACAAAACACAAGTGCTTTGAACTGTTGCCAATAAGTCTAACGAAATCGTCCTCCAGCTGCATGTAGACGAATTGCCAATTGCAAAGCCCATTTATTTAAAACACCTGAAAAGATCATGTTTTAAATTCTATTGTATAGTATAACAAAATGTGTTATGAGCAGTTCAAATGAGCATGTGCCAATTTTTCTCAAAGCCAACCCTCTGGCTGTGAGAAAATTATTCTAACAATCACATCATCTGGCAGCCGGGAAAGAAGCATAATATCACCTGCAAGTGCAACTGTAATAATCTCCATTTTACTGCTCAATCTATGGCCACACAAAAATTTTGAACGTGTTTTCCTCCCATTCTCAGATTTCCTTTTTTTAATAATTTTTTCAATCTTTAGTATATTCTTTTTTTTCCCTCCAATTGCCCAGAGGTAAGTTATATTACTAATAGTTTCAATATTCATTAAACTAATTATCTTAATTGGTCGACTAGAGATGCTTCTATGTAACTTTGTGCAACGAACATCAGCTCTGAACAATTTAGACATTTTAGAAATAATGCATGAAAAGATGAGACAGATAGATAGGGTTCTGAGGGCAGCCACTCTATCCATTGTGAAGGACATTACTTGGTATGCTGAGAAAACACACTGTTGACCTTTGTACTCTTTCTCCCATCATCCTTGCTATAAATAGGTCAACAACTGATCCAGAAAGTTCAACACAATGTAATGGCTCTACGCTAAGCACAATTAACACAGCATCATCACACTCATCTGCCATCATCTTCACCAACGTCATCAGTTGGCAATGTGATAATCTGATTGGGTGATTACATATATAAGACAAAAAAGATCTCACTTCATGAGACTCTGCTGTGTGTGACAGGACAAATATTTTGAATGACATATCTCTGACTGTTGTTAGATCAGCAAACCTGAATAACAACTATGATACGTAAAAACTGACAACCAGGTATTTAATAAACTGTGGATCCGTTTATAGTTAGATTCACTGGGCAGTCGCCATGGTAATGATTTTTTCTCCTTGCAGGATAAAGGTGGAGAGAGAACACTGTGTATTGATGATAGAGAACTTCCTGTGTTGGTGCAGGAGACGATGGCATGCTAATGGACGACGCACCTCACCAGATGGGGTTTGTTTGTATCCAAACGGAAAGGTGAGATCAGCAAAGTGTGCATGTGTGTGCGTGTCTGTCTGTGTGTGTGTATGAATTGTAGGGGAGAGAAGTGAGAGGCTAAAAAATAAGAAAAAGACAAGCACATGCCATAGCTCCATGAGTAAATAGTGTCTTACTCTTTAAAACATCAAATTAGTGTGTTTGGACGAAGATTCGAGAATTTACTGTGTAAACTATCCATCCATCCATCCATTATCAATGCCGCTTATTCCCTCATGGGGTCGCGGGGGGAACTGGAGCCTATCCCAGTGGTCAGCGGGCGAGAGGCAGGGTACACCCTGGACAGTCCGCCAGTCCATCGCAGGGCCAAACACAGGACATACAAGGACAAACAACCACTCACACTCACATTCACTCCTAAGGGCAATTTCCCCAATCTCCAATCAGCCTAACATGCAGGTTTTTTTTGGACTGTGGGAGGAAGCCGGAGAACCCGGAGAGAACCCACGCAGACACAGGGAGAACATGCAAACTCCACCCAGAAGGGCCCTGGTTCCCCCGGGATTCGAACCCAGAACCCTCTTGCTGGGAGGCGACAGTGCTAACCACGACACCACCGTGCCGCCCTGTGTAAACTAAATTTCTGAAATTATGGTGACATAGTTGGCAGTTAACACAACATTTCAGGTGTACAAAAAAAACATTATTGAAAATTCTTAAATATTATTAAGAATAGTGCAATTAGCAAAACTGTATTTCTATAATCATATATCTATTCACTGCCAAACTCTGATTGTCTTATAAAACAATGGAAACATACTTTTGTTTATTTTGCATGCACTGTAAATCCATCCATTACTATCAAAGCCAAAGTGCCTGCCAAAATTCGGGTGCTTGCAGTGAAGCTCTGTTTGTTGTGACACACTTGCATTCAACAAGACAAATTATGTGGTTTAATACTATGGATTTTGTAACAAAGTTTGATGAGAGCAAAGATTTTCAGTCACATTAACATTCTTGAGTGCATATGCCATGACTTCTGACCTTAAAATAGAAAGATCTTCCTAAAATGTGCATGGTGTCATTTTGATTTCACAGAAAAACGCAGTGATAACGTGCTAATTCACTTTTGCAAACCTGAAAGGATGAAAGGGATAAAAACTACAGCATCAAACCACAAACAAATATTGTTATATGAATTCACACCACTGAGTCGACATAAGTGTTTATTTTAACCTAAGCAACACTTTAACACCATCTAAATCTCAGGCTTTCTGCTGCCAACATCAGCAGCTTATGCAGGACATGTTGGATGTCAGATGGTGTTCCTGCTCAGCACCCGTTAGTCCAGCTGTTTTTAGTACAATAGGTCAGATAAACAATTCATCATATGCAGTTAACACGGTCAGCTTCCAGCAGTTCAGTTTGACATTGCAACACATAATCATGTGGTAACTTTAATATACATGACATCTAATTCAAACAATTCCATTTAAACAATAGAAAAATACAACGTCTCTCTTGGATCTAGGATCTTATCAGATAAATGTTGAATAAAAAGTTTATTAAAAGTATATTCTGGATGGCCTCTCTCCTTTGAAAAATGTTTACTTGTCTGTTTTGTGTCAGGCCCAGAACTCAGTAATACTTTGCTGCTGCCTGTAAGCAGGATCAAATTAAGCTTTTGAGTTTACATAACTTTTTCAAATGTGCCAAGTTCCAAGCCAGATATTCATAATTGGCTGTACCAAGCCAAAATCACAAAACCAACAGCATGTTCAGGCTGGAAATGAAAAATGCACACCAATCAGTCCAGAGCATTTTGTTGGTTTGAAACATTTAATGCACTCCTGCAACACAAACTTCTCTAAACCACAGAAATACCAATTAAATGGAAACTAAATCAATTGAAAAAGCAATAAACCAGTAAATAGATATTGAAAAATAAACGTCATGAGTCTTATTGTAGCTCTTGTTCTGATTTCAGTCAATTTGGTCATTAAGCAGCATCAGTTTGAAGTCGTTATAATCACAACTTGTTTTTTTCTTGAAAAAACTGAAAAGAAATTACAGGAATCCTGTCTGATTGTAATAATGAATTTCATCTGTGTGTTGGCTCAAGCAACCTAGATATGTTTTGTCAGTAGATGAAATGTAACAGACTTGCCACGAGTTCTCAGTTGTGACTGACTGAGAAGTCTCTTATGGTCATCCATGTAAATTGATATAACAATGGACATCATGTGAAAATTTCATTTTTTTCATTTTTTCAAAATTTGACTTTTTAGGACTATCCAAAAGAAGTCCTTAAGGTGCAGTTTCTGGATCATATATCTCATCTGTGTACAGTCTTGTTTCATACTTTGTGATTCTGCTTCATCCATTGTTTAACTGCACAATACTGTGCATAACACTAAAACAAATATGTAAAAGAAGCAACTTTTAATACCAAAAACACATCTTCACAATATATTTATGTGTACAAGTGTTCAGTTGTAAAAAAAACTCTAATAGAGTATTGTTTTCTTTTAATATGATTGGTGTCAATGTGTCAAATTGTTGGCTTTTGTTTGTTTGTTTCTGTGTTTTCTTTTATTGCATTGGCATTGATAACAGCTGTTGCCTTCAGTGTTATCAGAACTGCTGTCATAACGGCTTCACCGCACTTACATGAATGTGTTTGCTGCCAGAGACCATAAAATTGCACAGTTTTATCTGGCTTTTAAGACACCCAGAAGTCAATAAACTAAATTTCAGATACAGTGCATTTGTGTTTGCGCCAGTGGAGTCGCATAGTAGCAAACTCACATTGACGTTTAGGTCTTCGCAAATATCCCAAAGAAGAAGTTATTTAAATACAACAATTTGCTTAATCAGTATATTCTATTACATATTCCTGAGTATATATTTGGTTGACTACTGGTTTAGCTCAGCATCCTCTTTTGATTTGCTCGCCGTTGTGCACATTTTTGCCTGATATTATCCTTTAAGTCTAAGCTGTTTTATGCCGTAATCACTGCACACAAGCATTAACTGTACACTATGTCATCAGTAATTATTTTTATAGAACATCAATGAACGGCACTGATCTAAAAGACAGAGCTTCTTCATCTGTATTTACCAGGTATCAAATAAATGTGTTAATAGATACATATATAAGATAGTTAGACAATCACTTTATCAGTTACGAAATGGCATTTTCTCCTTATATAGTCATGCCTCGACTAGGTTCAGTCTTAGCCATAGCGTTGTAATTTGTGAGTACATGAAGGCAAGGACAAGGGCTGTTTAAGATTTATTTTCCTTTTTAGTTAGTAGTTATTAGTTATTCACAGACCTATAACCTTTACTTCAGTAGCCTCAGTCGATCTGATGAATAGTTTTTGATTGGTTCACATGTTTCAAGTACAATCGGGATATTCATCTTCATGGATGTTCAATAACTGGATGTTAGCTCCAATACATGGTGCTCATGAGAAATCAGTGCTTTACTGAATGCTTTAGTAAATAAATTACAGTAGCAGCCATTTTAAGAGGTTCATCAGGTTTTTACAGGAATTATTTCTTTATTGCATATCTCAGCTTTTTATTATTTCCAGGCTTACTGTCTGTCATTATGCTTATCCTCAATTAAGTCACTTTTGTATTCAGCGAGCTACTAAAACTCAAGCACAGCAGTGAGGTATATTCAGCTGAACTCTTCTGGGATCTGTCCTGGTATCCTGAAACTAGTCTGCCCAGTTTGATCCAGAGTACATCGGGGACTGGATATTGCGAAGCTAGCTCGAGTCTCTAAGGTGCAGCTGGTCCTGTGGAGAAACTGCAGGAAGTTCTCATGACCTGAACCGTCTTGGCTGGATATAGCCAGCTCCATAGACCTCGATGAGTAGCAGCGCCTGAGTTTACAGAGCTCTTCCCTGATCTGCCGGTTGAGAAGCCCATAGAAAAACGGGTTGATGGCAAAGGAAGAATATGCTAGCCAGGTGATTACTACCTCCATGCCATCAGGGATTCTTGGTGTTGCATTTACAATCAGGTGGAGGTGGAATGCAAAATAAGGCAACCAGCAGATTAGAAACTCGCCAACAATAACCACCAGGGTAAGAGCAGCTTTCCCACCCCCAAAAGACCGCTCCCGTGAAATCTTATGCGGGGCGTTGCGAGTTGTGATGATGGTCGTCTGGCTGTTTATGGAGTCAGACCGGTGCTTCAGCTGGTTGGCTGTCCATGAGGGCAAAGGTCCATGCTGGCGGGCTGCCACGCGCGCCACCTTGTACACGTTACAGTAAACCGCAAAAATCACAGCAGCTGGCAGACAGAAGCAGATGACACTGAAGAGCACAGAGAAAACGCGTCTGTGGTCGCTGTGGCTCCAGTAAAGCGAGCAGCGTGAGGCACTGATGGAGCTCAGGCTGCTGTGAGAAGGCCATCCAAGCACGGTGGACAATCCCAGCACAGCAGAGGCCACCCATACCGTCACCATGACAGCGGCAGTCAGCTTCAGAGTCATCTTGACCTCGTAGCGCATGGGGTGCACGATGTAGTAATACCGCTCCACACTGATGGCTGTGATGGTGAAGATTGAGGCAGCTATGAGGATTACGTTGAGAAAGATGTAGATCTGGCACTCGAGCATGGTAAACACCACACCAGCAAAGTAAGGGGAGCTGGCCACGATGCCAAGAGGCATCAGCAGGATGGCACACAGCAGGTCTACAGCACAGAGCTGGCACACAAAGGCAAATTTCCTGAGATGTGGGGCTTTTATGACCACCACCAGAACAGCAGTGTTTGCAAGCAGAGCCAGAACATTCAGGGTCACCATGAAAAACATCCCCGTTAGGTCCTTTAGTCGTGTCTGTGGACTGGGTTGTGTGGCCAGATGTCTGCTGGGAGCAGAGGGCATCGGTGCCCAGGCAGAGGTGCTGTCATTGCACTCAGAGCTGTTCTCTTCCATTATTCACAAGACCTTTTTCAAGGAGCAAATCTGTATTCCAGGACTCCCCATTATTCAGTAATGAGTCAAAAGAATTCCTCAAAAAGCAATTATAGACTCATCGCTCCTGGAAAGAAAGAAAAAAAACGCAAATCAAGATATGTACTGAGTTATAATTGTTTGAATTTACCTATCTTCTTTGTTCACCCTGAATCAATAGAAAAACCCATGAGAACAGCATTGATAAAGTGATATCCCTTCAGCTAAACTGACTTAAAGAAGCACATATACAGTACATTAGGGAGAACTACCATCAGTCCTGTAATGACATTTGTTTTCATTTCATAAGTGTTGCATAAATATACCCTTACACTCCCCTTTTTTCACTTAACCGCTCAGAATGTTTAACACATACTTCATCATTTTGTCTTTTTGCCATTTGGTAGTCAGCATTTAAAGCAGATTGGGTTTTAGCGCTGCGTCAAACAGCAGCCTGCTGCAGCTTGAAATGCTGCGATGGACTGACACAGGCAAGTTGGGGGCAGCACAGCCGAAACAATGGCCTGATAATTGACCTAAAGCTCTTTTAAGCCGAGAAGAATTGCAGCTGGATGATAAGACTATGCTGGGTCTCAGTAAGGAAAAGCCTTTTCTTATTTGTCAGGGACTTGTTAATACGTCAATATTCAAAGCTGTCCGAACAAACTCCTGAAAAAAACTGATAATATACATTATTCTATTGTATTTCAAGCTAATTGAACACTCTCAAAAGGCTGGAAGTTAAACAAAACCATGCCAAATTCAATGAAGTCCATCGGTAGCTCAAGTTTTATCTTAATTGTGTCCAGACTCCCACCCCCATAACCCTTTATTACATTGTTGTAATGTCATCAATATATTATGTTTTGGTATTTTAATACGTTTTTTATTTACTTAAATATTTTAATATTCTGTGATGGTCCTTCATCTAATTTATCATTATTTGGCACACCAACTAAATCTTAAAAGTGTGTTAATATACAAGAATCATAGACATATGCTGAACTGTCATAACATTTGAGAAAAAAACAATCAATAACTGCTCCTATTCTTCGTGGGTAATATTTATGTAGGGTCACTCTCATCCTTTTTAATGAGAGAGACTTGATCAATAGGAATAATTCATGGAGGACACTGCATCCCCTTTATCTTACCCCATCCTTTAGAAATGAAAGATAATGAATGTGCCTGTTTCAGTCCAGCTGCAGGAAACACGCTGCATTGATTAGTGTGTGCTCAGAGTCACCCTTCATCATACTATCAAAGGGGAAACCACTCTTACCCCAACTCACTGTGCAATTAAGAGTATACTGTACATCATGGTTTTATACAAATATTTTTTGTGTCCTTTTACACATTTGTGTTGTCTTTTAAGTCACTCCCTACACATGCATCAGTCCCCTATGTACAGATAGTAATGAGATTTTCTGATGTGTGATTGTTCGAGTCTGTGTCCTAAATACAAGACCCCGTCGCTGCCAGTCATCCACTGATGCTCTCAACTGCAGTAATCTTCTCTGCTGGACAGCTATTGGCGTGCCATATTTGCAGTGAGATTTATCCCCAGGAAGAGGACTAGTACATGTACATCCTCGCATTATGTAAGGGTGTCCTCTTTTTATTTTTTATTTTTTTTACAAACCAACATGATCAGCATTTTCTTATAAATTGTGTTTTCTTGTGTAGAAAGAAATTATTTTCGGGACATTATTTTCCGCCATATTTTATGGAGATCAATGAATTAGGCAGGACATTTAATCTCCAACAGACCCTTTTTACAGGAAAATCCTAAATGCCATCCTATATCCCAACGATAAAAAAAGATGTACATTAACACAATTGTTGTGTTTAGGAAAGATGATTAATTTCCAAAGATTTATAAATGAGAAAATCATCATCAGATGGGAAGTAATTTATGATAATGATAATCAAATGGGATTGTCAGTTTCAGTTATGAGGGAAGAGTGCAGCAGCCATCGGTCACAGATTCTGTTCTGTCCAACAGCATAAGTGATAACACACTGTGTGGGTGGTTATTCTCCTGTCTTCATCTACATGTGATGGGTTGAGAGCCACTTACCACAGCATTTGAGAACATATTCATATTTTACCAAAGTTCTTGCTCAGACATGCTTTTTTTTTTTTAAAGGAAGAATAAAAGTGGCTAGCAGTTTGATCTGGTTGTATTTGTATCCATCATATAAAATTTATATTTTCCTTTGAAATTTCCTTGGTGCTGTGTTTAGTTTTTAAAATTCTATTTGACCATAAAGATATTTCACTTGAGGTCAAATGTCTATCTCCTTATTTGTACAATAGGTCAAATACGAGGTTAAGCTGATGAATCCCCCTTTATCATATCGTGTTATGGTGTTTTCCACTAAAGGAGCCTGACTAGGATTTGTCTACCTGTTTGTACAATACCTTTTGAAAGAATAATTTTAGAAATATTTTGCCCAAACTACTCAATGTAGCATCGTGTTCCCTTGTCTCTGATGTAATTCACATAATACATCATTATTTTCAAATTTCTCACTTGCTCTGTCTTGATAATACTATTATTTTAAAATTGACAGTCATATATCTTAATGTCAGTACCAGACAAATAAAAAAAGTCACAGCTTAAAACCTACTTACAGTTCAGTTTGTTTTTACTTTTATTAGAGCTTGACATTTGTTCTGATTTGATCAGAATTTGTCTTGACTAAGTACACAGCTGCTAAGGCAAACAACAACAAAAAATAAACTTAACTCTTACTTTCTGAGGAAGTGTGTGGCTCCTCCAAAAAGTTCTCAGAAATCTGAAAACATCCAACCGCATAGGTGTGGGTCATTTCAAAACCCTGAAAACATCCAACTCAGTTTCCAGATGTTGCCTCCAGGTGAATTTGTCACCACTGTTTTGCAACTTCAGGTCTCTCAAAGAAATATGATTCTGAATCTTTCAACTCCAGGGAGGGCTGATTCTGCCAGTGACAGCTGATGAGTTGTGAATCCACTGAGATGGATCAGACAGCTCCGGGGACGGAAGGGGGAGGAGCCAAAGGGGGACGACTGCACCAAACTGACATTGTCTGCTTAACATTAACTCTGTCCCATACACAACACACACACTCTTTCATTAGTCAGTTTGTGGCTGTGACTGTTACACACTGCAGACTCTGCTTGTTGTCATACATGACCCTTTATTCTCTCCACAGCTTTTGATTGACAGAAAACCCCTGCATTATTCTGAGGAATTTCCCCTTGTTCTTTCTCTCATTTTGCGCTCAACATTTTCTATTTAGTCAAATCATTTTGCACAAATTTTCTTTTTTGCAACAGTATTTATTTTTGGTGATTTTGGACTTTACAGTGCTTGCAGAGTAACATGAAACCAGGCTCAGCGCTGACATCTGTTGGCTGCTGGAAAAACAAAGCAAAACTCATATGAGAGCAAACATTACAGTTCAGACATTTGCTTTCAAATCTACCCCAAATGGTAAATTAGATTTTATACAGTGAAGGACAACAAAGACATAAAAAGCAGATATTCATGATGAAGAACATATCATTTACAAAATTTTCTGACTCCAGATTATCTAGATATACGATATCCCCTTTAAAGCGATTTTTTTTAACAACATGGGTTTTCAAACATCTTCACTCCTTCACTCCACACAAACTAATTTGATGGAAAGTACAAATGCTTGGCAAAAACAGACTTCACAGACAAATAATTTTGTCACAAATAGTCACATTACGTCAATTTTAGTAAGAACACTTGTGTTTACCGCAATGATTATACATACAAGATATCATAGTGTTATCGAAAACAGGTTAGACCTTTGTACGCAACCATTTCCATACAGTTTTGAACAAAATAACATACTTTAAGCAGTTGATTTCGACACAGAAGACACTTCACTTGGTTGGGAAAATGCAACCTGTCACACTTTTCTATGAGACGTAAAATACAGCTGACCACCAGATGAGGGAAGGCCAGCGTAGCTAGAACTGAGAGTCACTTGCCACTGCATCATTCACAGGAAGAAGCGAGGCATCTTCACAAAAGGACTGATCCACAATAGCTCTGTTTTCATTTTTACCCAAGCCCAGTCTCTTCTTCAGTAGCTTGTCTTCGTTATTCAACTTTGTGCGGATGGCAGTTTTTATCTGGCTGTTGTCAACAGCAAACCTGTCAGCAACATGATCTACAGAGGAGAAGAAAACATAGCATCTTGTAACTCTGAGGAGCACGGCTGTTCTTCCATTATTTACTAATCACTTACCGATTAAGCCTTTCAGAATCTCAGGTGGGAGTGGAGGTTTGTGGCAGTCCTCTCCTGTGAAGGTGTTCTTCCGACCCTGCAGACAGTGAGTGGCCAAAGTATCCCTGTCGAAAAGTATCATAAGCAGTCCTGACACGTACTTTTTGTAGTCTGCAATTTCGGCAACGCGTTCATAGAGATTTTTGGGCACGCGAAGGCTCTCAGATAAATACAGGAAGTTATGCTCATCCTGGAAAAGAAAAGGAAATGTAAATGTTAGAGTATAAAAAAACATCAAAAGCTGAATCAATTTTCCCCTGAAGCTGTCTAATGATCATCTTCTTCCAACTTAAACGTAAAATAGCTGAACTATCTGTCTTTATCTACAGAACTATCTAGTCAGCAGATTTTCAAGGCATGGTAGCCCTCACCTCTGGTATGTGATGAAGAGTTCTCATCTGTGCCTCGGGCTCCGTCAGGAATGAGGAGCTTTCATCAAGGTTTTGCGGAGCAACTGGTGCCTCCCCCCCATGAAGAACATGATCCAGAGTGACTCGTAATTCATGTGCTGTGTGCCTCATCTGCATCATTAGGGTGTTCATCTCTACAATAAAATAAACAAAATAAAATGTATGGCAACTGTAAAAAAATCCTTAGGCAATGGTTGAAGTTTCACTTCAGCATCTTTATAAAAACCCATCAAAATTCCCTGTGGAGAGATGTTTGACAAGGCAGGAGCCAAACAACCCAAAACTGACGGGGTATTCAACGCCTGTTCTCAAGGGCAACTGTTCTGCTAATTTTAAAACGTTCCCTGCTTCAACACATTGATTCACATCAAAGTTCCATTAGCAGGCCTTAGCAGAGCTTTTGAATGGATCCATTTAACCAGAATCAGGTGTGCTGAAGCTGGGAAACTTACAACCTGCAGGACAGCAGCCCTCAAGTACTGGAGTTGAATATCCCTAGCATGGAGGTTTAACTGTCTTAATGTATGACTTAGAGGAAGGTCAGATCATGTTTCATTAATCAACTACACAGAAAAACACGGTAATTCGAACATCAAACTTTTCCACAAAACTGTACCTGTGTAAAACTAAATGTGATGTTTTGGAGAAAAACTATTTTGTAAAAATTAAACTACAAGGATTAAAACCAACTGCACTCTATTCCATTACTTTATTTTCATATCGAAATGACGGCATTCACCATGAGATGTTTTTCTGTTAAGAGCTGTAATGTTTTTTTTGTGTGTGCCATTAAAATAAACAGATGGACAGCAAATGAGAGGCCATAGGTTACACTTGAGCCAAGGCTTGAAATAAAATATGTGTGAGCGCCACAGGACTTTTTTAAGCATATTGACAAATCGGCTGGTTTCCACCCACCTTTGAGTTCTCTCAGTTCTCTCTCTGCCAAAATCCTACATCTGCGTTCATATTTTAGCTGTGCCTGCAGTTGCTCTATTTTCATGAGGAGGCTGATTGTGTCTGTTCTGATGCCTGGACTTGCAAGATTTTCTTCATCAAAGTCAATTGTTTCTTGCTGTCAAATTGCAAAACAAAAAAGCATGAGTGATTTCTGTACACAATAAAACATTGGCATTTTCTTCATAGTTTGACAGTGTATCACCTCGTTGCTGTGGAGAGGAGAATGGCTGGATTCTGCCATCCTATACTTATCCTGTGCTGATCCGCAGTGGAACTCTTGTGTATCTGAAAAGCTGTCGATCTTAATCATCTTCACTTGTGGTTGTGTTGAACTTGCTCCAGAGTCTCTCTTGGGTGGCATGGCCGGGGATCAAAAACCTGTGAAGAGTGAAAGGTTAAACCGGCTGCATTTCAGAAATCACTTTTATGCACAGTCTAGGGTCGGTTCAACTTTTTCAGTCATTTAGCGACGTTTGTTTTCTTATTTAAAACTCTATGCCAGACAGGATGGAAGGGATTTTCATGTTCGCTTCGCCAACCCCCCCTCCCCTCGCTTTTTCAACCCCTCCTACAAGCCACCAGCTGCAGGAGCTGCGGAGTGGTTAAAGCTGTACATCAATACGTTATCAAATACATGTCCTGTTGGATAAATGCTGAAAAATCTCACCTGACCGTTAACTATGCCTTCAAGATAACCTATAAAACAATGACTGAGGACAAAGGCAGCGCAGTACATGAAAATACCGCGTAGTAGAGGAAGTAGTAGTACTACTGCAGTATTACAGTACATGGGTCCTCATATCCTTATGGCAAATTCATAAGAATCGCGCGTAAATTAGCTTATAAAGCATGCGTGAAAAAGTTATATCATATTTATCTTTCATTGTGTGAGGCACTTGTACGTATGGTCCAGTTGTGTTTTAAAATATGTATTTTCTTACAAGTATGTGCGGAACAAAGGTGTTAAATCGTATTCCCCGAGGGAAGTATTTCATACAAGTACAGTTTCCTGTTCATCCATGCTCGTCATTAAGCCAATGAAAGTCAAATGTTTGAATAAGAGGCGGGATGTTTTACGACGAACGTGTTCTTTAACCAATCGGTGTACACTCAAGGCCAGTCCTACTTTCACGTTTGGTTGCAAAATACACATGTGGACTCAATGTTGATGTGCCGCTGAGAGAAAGTTAGGAGTCTTACAGGTTTTGTTTATTTGGAAACTCCACTTGTCGTATGTTAAGATGTCTTCTTCGTTTTTCATAAAGGCAAAAGAAAAACCCAAGTTAGTCAACAAAAGGAAAAATGTTACGGCGCCAAAACGAAAGGTAAGTGGTTTTAACTGTTAGCATGCAAGCTAAATCATGTTAGCACACCAGCACACTGACTCTCAGTCTTTCTTTTTAAATATTATTATTATCCAAGATGTTGTCATTTGAAATTATTTGTTGTACCTTCTTGTGCAGAGTGATGGGGCCCCGGATGGAAAAAGCAAATTACGAGCAAAAAAACCCAGCAAATATAACGAAGAGATATCCAGTGATTCTGAGACAGAGAGGTGCGTGTCTGATGGTTTAAGTCAGATTGTATGTTTATACATAAGTAATGCAACGACTATACCTGGTACTGGCGATTTTTAAGTGTGCGATTGCTTGATTTATTTCAGTCCTGTTGTGTCCAAGAGGAGGGAAGCCAGTGAGAGCAACGTATACGACGAAACTCCTCAGGAGAAGAAACTCAGATTAGCAAAGATTTACCTAGACCAACTTAAGGAAGAGGGTAAGCATGTCAAGAAATCTTTCACATTTAACACTGATTTCTATGGCATGAAGTTTTAACTGAGGGTTTGTAATTATCAGAAGAAAAAAAAGGAGATGATGACTTCTTTGAGACAGATCTGGTCGCTGGAAAACTCCAAGAAGAAGTGGTAAGAATTTTCTTGTCCATGTGTAAATGAGGGTGGTAAAGATGAATCTAATATGACATTATTTGGTTACCATGGTTTGATCCATAGAGTGTTTAAACGTTCTTTGTTTTTATAAATACATAGAATCAGACAAAACTGACAAAACCAGTTCACGTTGTTCAGAAGTCAGTCCACTAGATCATCATTTGTGTTCTTTAAAAAAAAAAACATCAGGATTTGTTTGGCGTTAATTACTCAGAATGCAAATTATATTAATTGTATATATCATATATTATATTCAGTTGTAGTCATCTGTGGTCTGCTGTAAGTAACCATGTACTGTACGTTGTGATGATCTTTATTTTATGTTTTTTTCCTTCCAGCTTGAACAGAAAGGAAAGCTCCAGCGTCTAATCGCCAAAGATGTAAATATTCAAAACCGAATGGGTTTTATCCCTGCTGCATCTCCACTATTCTTTTGGAGAAAAAGCTGCTTATAAACAGATTTTTTTTTCCTTTTTTTGTCTTTAAGCTTTTAGCACCAGATGTGTCAGAGATCAGGGTGTTAAGAGGACACAAGCTTCCAATCACCTGTCTGGTCGTCTCACCTGATGACAAATGGATCTTTTCTGCAGCCAAAGACTGCTCCATCATTAAATGTAAGTGTACAGCGAAGCCCTGCGCTGCCACTGTTTTTAGAGTTCTAATACACATTTGTAGAACTTTCCCTGAGTGTTTTTATTGCATATCCAGGGGATGTGGAGAGTGGGAAGAAACTGTACACGATACCTGGTGGGAGGAAAGGCACAGAAGAACGCCATGTTGGACACACAGCTCACATCCTGTGTATGGCCATATCGTCAGATGGAAAATACTTGGTAAGTGGTTTTCTCTCTCCCTCTGTTTCCTGCCTTTCTCCTACTTGAGGGAGGCGTGCATATTATTTTGCCCTTCCCAAGTGTTAAAGCTTTTCTTGCTTTATATCTTTTAAGGCCACCGGAGACATGAACAAATTCATCATGATTTGGGAGGTAGAAACGTTTAAACATCTTTACAAGTTCACGGGGCACAAAGGCCCTATTTCGGTATGTTCTTATTCTTCCTCCATCCGCCACATATTTGACCTTTTTACCTCAAAGAGCTTAGTCCTGAGGTGAGCAGCGCCTATGCTTTCTCTTCCCAGGGTCTCTCGTTCAGGAGGGGAACCCATGATCTGTACAGTGCTTCTCATGACCGCTCGGTCAAGGTGTGGAACGTGGATGAGAACGCGTATGTGGAAACTCTGTAAGTAAATAATTGAGAAACATTGTTCACTCTCCTCTCGTGCTGTCCTTCAGGTCTTGCACTGAACTGTTCTGTGAATCTGTTAGCTTTGGCCATCAGGATGCTATCACAGGACTCGACAGTTTGAGCCGCGAACGCTGTGTGACTGCGGGGGGGCGGGACGGCACTGTGAGGGTGTGGAAGATAGCAGAAGAGTCTCAGCTGGTGTTCCACGGACATGCGTGAGTTTGCTCTGGACTGCTGGTGCATGTCGCCGTTTTTTGCTCACATTTTTTGAGGGGCAGTAGTAAACGCATTTTACAATTAGAGAGAACTAAAGGATAAACATAATCAGTTGTTTTGTCTTTTGCTCGTTTGTCCCTCAGAGGCTCAATTGACTGTGTCCAGCTTATAAATGAAGAACACATGATAACAGGAGCCGATGACGGGTAAGAAAGTGTTAGATATCCCTTTTTTTTCGTCCTTTCTCAGGAATCTCATATTGCTAATAGATTAGTTCACTTTTGACTATGTCTCCTCTCAATTTTCTAATAACCTTAGCTCTGTGTCGCTCTGGAGTGTCAACAAGAAGAAGCCTCTCAGCACAGTGAAACAGGCTCACGGTTGCCATGGTGACGCAGGGCTGGAGCAGCCTCATTGGGTGGCCTCGGTAGCAGCCCTTCAGAACTCAGACACGGTTGCTTCAGGTGCCTCCGGCTGTGAGAGTCGTCTTTACACGCTTTTTGATAACACATGATTATTTAAAGGGCATTGAAGGCTTTAAAAATAAATGCATGAATAAAATTAATCCTATATAAAGTTCCCAAATGGCAGAGATGAAAACCTGGTTCGAGTTAAAGGATGCTTTAGATGGCCGTGGGGATATCGGGTAACATGTTTCTCCTGTTCAGGTTCTCACAACTCGCAGGTGAACGTGTGGAAGTGTGGGCAGAATTATCGTGGGTTGGAGCTTCTGTTCAGCGTGCCAGTGGTAGGTTCAGAAAAAGGAAACTCAAGAGCATGGCTCAACGTAATGCTGTATGTTCTCAGGGTTTTTCCTTCTGTTTCCTCTTTCAGTCTGGTTTTATCAACAGCCTGAAGTTTTCAAGCAGCGGTCAGTTCTTGGTGGCTGGAGTGGGACAGGAACACAGGTAGGTCCAATCAATAGAGACTAGAGCTGGCTCATGTAGGGAAATAAACCTCCACCAGATGGCAGTGTTCACACACATCCACCAGGAGTGAAAAATCCATCAGTTTTCTTGAACATCACAAGAGGAAGAACTCGCTGTAGAAATAGTATTCTGTCACATGATTCACACATCAAAAGTTTTTTAGTTTTTTATGCAGGCAGGAAGATCCATATTTAATTTTGATTCATTTTTTATTAAAATGTTTTCTTTTAAACCAATTTGTTTTATTTATTCAGCCTGACCCAGAACTAAAAACAATGGTCTGCAGATTGTAAGACCAGTGACAGAGACTGCTGAGGCAGAGAAAGCTCTGACCAACTGATCATCATTAAACAGGAAGGCGTCCTTTCTGAAGCGCATCCTAACTTTGGTGAAGGCTTCATTTTGGTACAATGTTGTTGGTTATGTTCTTTTTCTTGTAGCTTAAAATGTTTTTAATCTAAATTTAGAATTTTCACTTTGAAACCCTGAAATCATCCCAGCAATTCTCAGCAACATGTCCAGTGATTGGCGTGGGGTGCATCTATTACTGACACTGTTTGTGTTCAGGTCACAGGGACTTTTTTATTTTTTATTTATTTATTTATAAATTTATTAAATTATTTGGGAGTCGGCTGTTCTGACTTAATTTCACATGTGTTTGTGGCTCTACAGATATAAACGGCTTCGTATTGTGACCGTGTCATTGATTTTGTGTAATTTGTGTTGATTTTGCAGGCTGGGCCGATGGTGGAGACTGAAAGAGGCCAAAAATGGGATCTATATTATTCCTCTTAAAAGGAAACCTTCTAATCCAGAGGAAACCAACATTAATGCATCATGAACATTTTCTTTTCTATTTTGTAAATTAAAGGCTTAAAAAGTAGCTGTTTGTTATGCGTGTTTTGCCTTTTTTGATACAGATTTATTTTTGAAAACCAAGGCAGGGTTTAGTGTCTCTTATGGCCTCTGTCTGCCACCAAATCAAAGCACTATGGCTGAGGTGGCGTGTGCACATTTAGACCAAAGATGTGAAGCGTTTGCATCACTGGAGTCGTGTTGGGACTCGTTCTTTCCTTTTCGAGCTCCTCTCTGCTTTGAAATGTCACAACGGACTTGTCTGCTTCCTTCTGGGGAGCCCAAACTGTTGACAACAAGCTGATGACAAAACTATGTTGGGGGTAAAATCAGTTTGGCCTTTTGGGACCTTTGGGAGGATCACATACATTTCCAGTGGCTTGTTATGAACTTTAACATGACATGCTAACTGAAGGCTTTAAAGTTTGAGATGTAGCTTTTGGGTGTAAAACTTGTCTTTAAATATTGCCATACCGTGCAATATTTAAATGTTTTTAAATTCAGATTTCATTGTAAATAATGGATACTTTTAATCCCTTTAAGGCAATTGTTGATGTTATTCCTTTTTGGTGGTGTTGGAATCCTGCAGATCTGTTGTATTTTTAGAATTTTGCCCATACACAGGGTCACTTAAGTATTCGTGCATTATATCAAGGACACTTTCCCTGCAGCTTGTGATTCTACTTACCGATTTAGTTCCTCTGCAACTGTAAGTGTGTGTTCTTCGTAGGCTGCTTATTCATTTTGTGAGATGGTCAAAAAGAACGTCCAAGCAAATGTTTAAAAAATAAGCTTAGACTTTGTGAAATTAATTTTTTAATACAAAAAAAAACATATTTACATAAATTACAAGAAAACACTTTTATACCAGTCTACGTTAACACACGTCAGGTATATGGTCTAGATGCCTAGTTTTCATCATTCACTATGTTGACTTACACGTTTGTTTAGAAGGAGCACTGAATTAGTTTCAAAGCATATTTTTGTGAAAATCTAAAACATCTCAATATGTTCACAGCACTGTTAAGACAAGAGAAGAACAGCCTTTTGTAATACACTATTGCTGCACAACCACCCATTTGACAAGACTCTTGAGGACAAGGCACAGTGCATTTACCTACATCTACCTGTAAACCTAGGAGATCACAGCATTTTTTAACCTATACAAAACGGCTTTACAGTTGATACATGCTGCCTTATGCAGGAACGTGCTTTAGCTTTCACAGTTGGACTCTTTCTGTTGGCAGTCAGTCGGACACTTATCTCTTTGCAACATGTGAGGTGGCATGGGCGATATGCAACACACAGCCCGCTTTAATGGAAGGGGGAACGATGGCGGGGTCGGTCTCTTGTGCTTGGAGAGGAACTTTATTTCACAATGAGGATGTTGTAGAGTCCACCACCTCGCGGCCGTTGCAGACTGCTGGCACGTAGTTGGAGGCTGATCCTGCGAGAATAGGAGAAGCGAGGTTAGCCTGGCAAGAGTACTCTTAATGTTCTCGTTTTTTTAAACCAATAGGAGGCTAAACTGTGAGCCAAATATAAAGAGCAGTCAGTAAAAAAATGGGAGAACCATTTGAAGGGAGCTGCAGAGAAAAACCAAAGTCTAAATCTCACATGTAATCTAGTTGCAAGCTTGACCAATTAAACTACAAAGCTAGCAATTTAAGTACTTGTCTGTCTTGTCTCATGCAGTGACATTATTTCTATAGCCATAATGATTCCTTTAACTGCAAATTTAATAATTTTCAACGGAATTTAAAAAATGCATATAAAACAGTTCATCAGTACTGCACTGCCCAAACTGTTAATGCAGATTGAGATTGGCCGTAAAATATAAACCATGTATATCATGTCAGTAGGTAAAATTGAGATTTTTGACAGTAGATTCCTGATTTTTGCTGAATTTTAAAGGCTACCAGCAACTGCCCGCTTACCCTTTGCAGACTGGAAACACAAGGAGCTATTGTTGGCCTGAACAAATTAACAATGCCGCCTGCCAGCACCCTGAAAACTCACTAATTAAAACACTACATCTCGTTTCTGTAGCCCTTTCGATATCATTTGGGAGGAATGAACGCCTTGATTCTCCGCTAACCAGCCGACACCTCATTATTGTTTGCTTACATGTAAAACAAATATAATGATGCTGATTGGAAACAATTTTTTTTAGTTTTTGTTTGTTCAGTTTTTTGTTTTTACCCACTTTTTGTGCTCGTGCTGTTGTCACTATTCAGCCCTGCGTTAGTGGTGGCAGCAGTTTACTGTGCATGCAGTGCTTCCCACCACAGAGTTCCATCTTGGTTCTCTGAAACTTTTGATACCTCCCTGAATAGTAGCTTATTCATTTTGTCAGATACTTTTTGTAGAGGATAAATGTCTGCGCCTGTCTTGATTAGTTTACATTTGCCCGGTGTTTCACGGAGTAGCACTTTTCACACATCGCTTTGAAAGGAAGTGAAAAGTTGGGCACATATGAAACAGGTGTGTCAGCATCACTCTACCACTGATGTGCCCCCAAGTCAGGCCAACTCTGAATCTCTCCCCATTTTACCTCTAAATGAATCAGCCTCCCTGGGATGTTGTCTGTTATATACCCAACAATGTTGCCGACCAATTCCTGAATGAATAATATTACCAAAATATTTGAGGTTTCTCAGAATAACACACAGTTTCCAATCTTTGTCACAATTTCTAAAAGTATTTTTTTCCCTTACCATCCTGTTGACAGGATTTAAACATTGGACAGCATATATGTTTTTTGGTATTTTTTTTCTTCTCTTAAATGGGTTTCTCTTTTGCAGATACAACATCTTATAAAATACAGAGTTGAGCATGTTTGTACCTTTGGAGAAGCTGGATCCAGGAGCTGAGGCAGAAGTAGATACTGTGGCACTGAAACGGTTGGCTGTGACTCTCAGTGTGGTCACATTTTTCTGGGGCTGGAACAGGATGATATGGATTTTGGGAGCAAAGAGGCAGCCGAGAACCACTGACCCACTCAGACTTACGGAGATACACATGGTGGTGGTCTGCACCTGCAAAGAGAGGGACAGTGCACCTAGATGTACATATCAATCCTCATTCTCCGTTGCAATTTTTTTCTTCAGAAGGGCTGTTCAAGTGCAGTCACCTAGCCACAGGCAGCTCTCCTCTTATGGTCTTTGATCCAATGGTTCATTTTTAAATTGTATTTCTATCCTACTCTTGTTACTGCCAAACCTTTAATCCCGTTATTAAATTTCTCTCTCACCTCTGTGGTTATCTCTAAATAATTTAAACTATTTCAAAGATTAAATTATTTTCAAACATGGGATATAAAATATGCATGCCAAATGCAAATAAACTGCATGTACAAAAATTTGGATTAATCAGTTAGTTGTTTTTCAGAATTATAAAAAAAAAACTGTTGTGATAATTATCACTTTAGAAAATCACAGGCTTAACTTGACAGCCATTACTTAAACAGCAATTTAACGTATACAACACTAAATGAATATTCCTGATTCTAAAGCCATATAAGAAAAATGCCCTTTTTTGAGTCATTAAGTTAATCTTCCTTCGTTATTAGCCATATTTACATTTTCAATTATGGATGTGTGCTAGGCTTTTAATTATGTATGTTAGCAATTCTAATTTGTATTTGCATGAATACGAGGGATAGAAGAAGAATATGGGATAAGCTCAGCTGGTTGTCCTGGAAAGTCAGGGTCTTGTTAGTCATATTTCAGCTGCTAATTTGAACTGACTGCTGGGGTCATCTTCCAGAGCTTCATCTCTTCCTACCCCACTGGTTATCCCTGCAGTCCAGGAACTTCTATTTGCAGAACCACAGCATGAAGCGAAAATGCTCACAGAACATAGTCCACAACAAAAACACTGCAGAAATAAGTCATCACTCATTTCAATTTCAAACGAAACTGATGGGAGCACCAACAAAAAAGCTATTAATATTGTGATTCCCATAGCCTCTAATCTTTTTTGGTCAGTCGATGTTTCCTTGTAATAGATAAAGTACTGCATGTGGATTCCTCAGTGTTTTCTGATTCAAAGGATTTTCTTTTCAGTATTATATACTATGCATATATACTGGCTGAGTTTACTGAAAACCCATGTGAATGATCTGTCTAACAAGAAAAGCATGACCATTCAATTATCTATGTCATATACTTACTTTAACTGTTTAATCATAGATCTCTGTTTCTTTTAGTTTAACTGTGTGCCGTGTCTCCAGTATGGAGTATGGAGCTTTAAATTCTGAAATCGTAAGGTTATCTCTTAACTCCCAATGAGTACTGGTTAAGGTGGAATTTGGTTCATGCCATGGATGCTGAGAGATCACAACTGACATATAAAGCCGGAGGTAGCTCATGACACCCCCACCCCCCCCTCACCCGCCCTAACCTATTTGAACAATAAAGGCCTCGATGAACACCTTGACCAAAATGCTGTGGCAGTAGCCGTGGGTATGCCAAAGGCACCGGCACTAAGCTAACATTGTTTTTCAACTTGATACCAGAGCTTCTGTATTATTATTGACATTTTCCTTCAACTGCATGAGCACAAATGTTTATTAGTATCATCAGTTTTTAAAAAAAGATTTAGCTCTCGTTGGAAAAGCACAGTGCGATCAATCCCAGAATGCATGAGCAGCTCATTTACTCATTGCCATTTGTGTGATGCTAGCTAAATTTAGCCTTTAGAGGCAGATACATCATATTTCCTTTGATTATGGAGGAGGTGCCACAAAGCACAAAGCACCCACTGTGCCCACTCACAGTCAAGTGAGTGTGAGTTTACTATATGAAACCAGTTATTCTTCAGTTTTAGCAGATATCAGTTATTTACACCCAAGAGGTGTCATTAAGTCTTAAGATATTATGTTTATTTAATCAGTGTTACTGTCATGTATTTCTGTCAGCACATTCAGGCCCTTATCTGTCTCTAGAGTCTTTGTTCTAGTCTTGAAAGATCCTTCAGCCCACATGAAAAGAAAACCTCTCATAAGCCTGGGTGATGGAGATCAAATGGAATGTGCAAGAAAGACCTTCTTTAGAAGAGATAAACACACAAGGGGCAGTCATTTATAGACTTTGTTTACTGTGTGGTGCATTGGGTTGCAGCGGTTTGTGGGTGTATAAACTGTAAATACCTAACAATAAAAATAAAAAAAGAGTCCGTGCATATTTACCCTGTAGTCACTGGCAGTGACATAAAAGATGGGCTGGAAGGCGAGCCAGATGATGCAGGTGGTGTACATCGTAAAGCCGATGAACTTGGCTTCATTGAAGTTCTCAGGGCACTTTCTTGTCTTGAAAGCGTAGACAGTGCAGAGGATGATTAGGATGCAGTTGTAGGTTAGGGACATAAGCATGCTTGTGTCCCTGCTGTTGCACTTGAGGGTCACCACGTTTCTCCTTTCTGGGCCCACTTCTTTTCGAACCCCCGGCACCTCCACCAACAGCCAGATAACGGCCACCAGCAGCTGGCAGGAGATCAGAGCGCCGCATATTGCGACTTGAGAGGCTGGACTGATGAAACGTGGTCGCGTGGCTCCGTCCTTCACCCCGCTGAAGATCCGAGCGATACGGTTGGTCTTGGTCAGCAGGGCCGAGTAGCACACAGCGAATGAGGTGCCCAGGCCCAGTCGGCGTAGTGTGCAAACGACAGTGGACGGTTTAGCGATGTAGACGAAGGTTATGCTGTAGCACATCAACACTCCCAGCAAGAGGATGTAAGAGAGCTCGCGCCCACTTGCTTTAACCACAGGTGTGTCATTGTGCTTGAAAAAAAGGCCCACTACAGAAAGGGTGCAAAGTATGCCAAGACAGGAGATGGTGACAGGTCCGATAGCCCAGGCATCCTCCCAGCGAATGTACTCTTCAGGCAAATCATAGCAACCCGTTAAGTTAGCAAGCGGCCACTGTCCAACGTTGCAGTCAGCACAGGTGAACTCATCTTGTAGGTACTGGTATGGCTGACAGGGAATACAGATCCAGCAGCAAACGTCCCCAGGCTGCATGCTTTTCACCTCGTTCTTCCTGCATGGGTCGCTGCACTGGGAAGTGGGGGGACTGAGGTTGCGCCAGGCCACCATTGAGTTGTTCAGGGTCAGTATGTGATCCCAATAGCCAACTTTCCTATAAATGAACCTCCCCTCCTCTTTGTGGTAATGAAAAATATTGTATCGGCTGATGCTGTCACCAAAGGAGTCAAAGCGCACCATGCTCTCTGTGTCAGCAGGCCTGAAAGGAGCTGGTAGGAAGCAAAAATAAAGCTTAATGTTTTTTTCTTGTGTAAATGATCCAATTCACAATTACAGCAGGGAAGACCAAAATTCATGTAACTATTACCACTGAAGGAACCTTTTTCCTTTTTCATGCATTAATTTCAAGAATTTAAAATTTTGTGACAAAGTATCTGATCATTCAGAGCAGATAGATTAAAATGTATTCTCAAGGTTAAATGATCATTCATATCACCGTAGTCCATAGTAGTGATTCAGTTTGCCTAAAAAAGACCAGATTTGGTCCTCTCACTACTCCCAGGATCACATCCTTTCTTTCTAAAGCATTGTTCTTTATTTTGATAGATCAATACAGCTTTTCACTTATGCTTCCATATGGCTTTTTTTTTTTTTTTGCATTCTTATTTACCTTTTCCCATTTACCTAAATTACATCAAACAGAATAGACTTTTGTGAGTTTGTGTTATTGTGTTATCGATACAGTACACTGCAGATAGGTTTCCCTCTCTGCCATTCCAATTTTATATTCTTTCGTTCTTACATTTTTTTAAAGCTAATTATCTAAAAATTTGTTTGATATCTAAGTTCACAATCAAAAAATCATCATGCAAGTTACTCAAAAGTCACAAACAAATTTTTAGCCCCACTTTGTTAGATTGACCCCTTTGCTTACCTTCAAACTTGGTCTTCAGGATAAACTCCTTGTAGAATCTTTTGCCGTTACCTGGCTTCATGGCATCGCAGACCTTGGATGTATTGGTGCATACTGCTTGCCTCATGTTGTGCAGAGCGTAGGCCATGGCGTAGACAGCATTCACCACAAACATAATTTTGGACTCCTGTTCGAACGTTCCATTTCGTAAGCTGTGCTCACTGCAGCTGGGCTCCTGCACGCTACAGCCAAACCGGTGCTCCCAGAACTCCTTGAACCATGGGTTCCTCGTGTTGGTGTATGGGTTCAGTTTGGTGAAGTAGTCTTCAAACTCCCTGATTGGGTAGGATGCCAGTTCGATGGTAAATGCTCCTTCTGCTGCGGTCTCACTGCCCCTGACTACACTCTCCTGAGCCCCCCATCCATCACTGGCCACCCAGATTAAGCTGACGTTCATTCGGGCGGCAGCCACCAACAGCTCCCGGGCATCCTCGCTGCGGGTGAACAGGATGACCACTTTGGCGTTTGACTTCTGCTGCAGGGAGCGGATCACATTGTCATAACCCTGGCGGTTCATGGAGCGGCTCACTTTAGCTGAGGTGGCGATGCAAATTTGACGAGTGCGAGCCTCCTGCTGGAAGGCATCGATGCCCGTCTCGCCATAGTCACCCTCTGAAGCTACTGTTGACACGTAGGTCCAGTTGAAGTAGCGCAGGATCTCAGCCATGGCTTTGGCCTGGTAGAAGTCAGGGGGAACTGTGCGGGCAAAGTAGTCATAGCGGGTCTTATCACTGAGCTTTGCACTTGTAGAAGCGTAGCTGATCTGAGGTATTTGGAACAAACGAAGGAGGTTGGCCACCTGGAAAAAAGCAAAATGTTGGTGAAGTAAGAAAGAGAGTCCATCCGAAACATCACCACAAAGGCTAAAAAATTTGGAAATGCAACACTGTTCTCTGGTCTGACAAATTGCAGACATTTGAGTCATTTCACTTTTTTAGCATATATTAGTTCTTCTGATCTGCATCTAAAATGCAGTTTTAGCCACAGTCTGTCTTAGTGTCATGGCAGACTGTCAGGGGAATCTTCTTCTGACTGGTGCCCTCAATTCATTCTCTAGATAACAACAGCCACAATGGCTCATGGATGAGAATTTAGATGTTTTCTTCAATGAACGTCATTCTGGTAAATCATTCAAAACTGATGAAATGCTATGTTGAGCAGTTATGGTCCCTGCCTTTTCAGACAGGGATGATCTCTGGTGGCGCTGTGGTCACCGAGGTAAATAATGATCTAAACTCCTAAAATACTTGTGTTGTTTCATCAAAATCTAAATTTATGGAAACTATTTTCCCATGTAGTAAAGCAGTAAAAACCTGTTATGCTGCAGGATTCCTCATGAGTAACAGTGGTGATTAGTGAATACCCACAGGCTTGAAAATGACTGCCTCCTCCCTGAAGCATCATTGAATGCCTGGAGGCTTTCCAAACAATGGCTTCCCAATGGATCTAATTGGAAGCCTGAACACTCACGAGGGACAAATCCCTCTTCCAACTTGAATGAGTCTAAAGAACAGCTCAGTTTGCCCTGTTATATCGTAAATTTTATTATATTGTATTTAAATGAAGACAACTCTTTGTATTTCATCTTTTCCTTGACATGCTACCCCATTGTCAAGCAAGGTCGGATTCTGCTTTCACAATCATTAAATAAACAGCTGTGACGAGAAACTTACTTTGTATCTTATCAGCCTTTTTAATGGGCATTATTTGCTGTATTCAGCATGCCTATTAGCAGGAAGTTCCATTTCCGTTGTCAATATAGATCCAATCACACCTCATTGTGCAGTCTACTCAAACTGCTACTCAGATCTAATAGGTGCCCTCCTGTGGTTTTCAGATGGAGTGCATGCAAAATATCCTCCATCTCTGCCCTTTAAGAAAAGAAAACAACGTAATCTCAAATCTAAGAAAAACATTTCACTCTTAACTTTAATATGTAACTTGAATATGTCCGATGCGCACGTTCCCTCAGATTTATATATATATTGAAAACAGATTTTCTAAGTGCAAATCAGCATGTGCCATTCTAATGAATGTGAAGGACAATATTTAATATGGTAACCTTTATACTTGAATATATTCTGTTCCTTCATAGGCAGGTTTTCTTGTACTTTCTGTCTGCAGGATAAATTTTCATAGCATGTCAAAGGGCATTCAAATGCTCTTTTTTGGACATTGGCTGCTTTTTGTTAATTTGTCTGTCAATTCTTTGTACAGTAATCAGCATGACTATTGAAAAAAAGAACATTTTCCGTCGTAAGTCCAATGCATGGCTGCACAAATAACAGTTATTAGTTAGTGGTAATGTGTTCAACCTTTCAATAAATACATCTGAATTAATTTCTTAATTCTATTCACCAACTTTATCCCAAAGAGAAGAGTAACAGGTAGCTTGTGAGGGAGAGAATGGAATAAAAATCAATTTGAACAAGTTGAGCAGCATGTCTCCATGCCTTGTTACAAAACAATATAGAGAAAAGGGGTCTCACTAGATAACGTAAAGACATATCAGCTTGTGAGTGCACAATAAAGCCTGCTAAGATCCACCAACTGACTAAATTGGAGCCCGTGTCATAGAGGGGATTAATGTCGCCAGCCAAAAAATCTGCATCTTCTTTCAGATAGTCAGCATGGTAATAAGGGAGTTTTCTCTTGCTGGTTTTCAGACAGACAGTTGGCCTTCATCAGCAGATTCTAGGAGAATCCTGACAGCACACCTTTCACAGCAGCACTGGAGTGTGTGACAGTAACCGTCTGTTCGTCCTCCTGCAGTATTTCCCTCTTATTCTCTAAGTCAGATAACAAGCTAAATTCAACCACCGGTGCATTTAGCTCTACTGTAAAGTTTCCATAGACCTGTCTCTCAGGTCTGCCTATGATTTAATTCCATGCTCAAGCTCCACCGTTGTAGTACATCTTGCATGAACTTTTGTCAGGATTAATTTTTTACAAACTTATTAATAACTTCAGTCATTACAAAAATGTAATTTATTTCGGATTCAATTTAAGGTGATTGACAATACCCTGATTCAACAGGCAAAGGAGGCAGCTCAAACTTGAGTAATTAAAAAAAAAAAGAAAACTTGATAATGGAGGGATATTTACACTCTACTTTTCTGCATGAGGTGATCTAATTAGACTTTAAGGTCAGCATCATTTTTGTTATAACTACATACAGATATCTGCAGTGCATTCAAACTCTTCATTTTATGCATTTAAATGTTAAAATTAGTCCGTGTGTGAATAAAAAACACATAAGTGACATAAATACTGAAAAGTGATTATTTTGTTAAATGTACAGATAACATTTCAGATAACTTTACAATGATGGCAACGCACTGTGAATTTAAGGTGGGTTTTTTTTTGTTTTATTATGTATAAGGTTCATTAGTGAATCCAAGAATTTCCAGTAGAAGCTATGCCTTCCCTCAGCTCAGTCTTTCATTTGTCCAGAAAGAGTTTCTTTGCCATGACAGAGCACACACTTAGGAGAATGATAATTTACACAGGATGTGCTACTTTTTTTTGTTATGCTGGACATCAAAGAAAACTGCTAAATGTGATTATCATTTCTTTTCTTTGTCTCCATTTCCTAAAAATCATTTGTACAACGTTCCTTTTTCCATCTTTTGCTCCAGAATTTTAATTGGCTATATATTCAGCGTAAGCAGAGAATTAATATTTAGGCTCTATCTTTTGATTTATAATGTATTTGAATATTTCAGAATATTTGATCTAAGTAAGAGTGAAACAACTATTTCCACAAAATGTGGCTTAGTGGTATGTTTTTTTTCAATTACTTTTTTTTTGTTTCCTTAAGGAAACGAAGAAAAACATCCATAAAGTTTTCACATTAATTTGTTAAACATGTCATAAGGAGATCTGCAACGACAGCTGAAGGGAACATATACATTTCATAAATGTTATTCTTATACTGGGCTGGGCTTTGGGCTAAAAGTACCACATGAATGTGCCAATATCTTCTCAGTAATCACAGTAGGGAGCCCGGTGCTCCTGCAGAAGCAGTGAGGAATTATATCAGCTGGAACAATGTCAGTCTGTATCTGTTGTTATTTATTTTCAAGATGGAAATTCCATCATATGTCCCCGAGGTTGAATCTTACAGCTGGTACAGTGGATGACATAAAGAAAAAACCTCAGGCTGTTACTGTTGTTACCTTAAATGTAAATTGGTGAAACACCGATGGCAGAGCCTAAAAGTACAATTTAAATAATAGGAAAGAATCGTGAAAATTTTGTTCAAGCATAAGTTGATTCAACTTAAAGCAGTCTGGCACTTAAATTATATTTCATATTATGTTACTTTAAATAGTAAAAAAAACCTTATCTTGCTCATTTTAGGAAGAAGAGACATTTTTCCAGTGGATTGCATATAGCTCCAGAAGCAGCCAAAACAGTCCAGACAGACTTGATCCTTGGTTGTTCTGTGTGATGGCTAAGAGGAAATGACTAAAGACCAGAGGATGTCAAGGGACTTTCAAAGAAAAGGTAAAACCAAAAAATACAATATAACATTATTTTTATTATGTACAGCAGTCTTAGATTCGACCCTTGCATCACTGAGAAAAAGTAGAGGAAATGATGTTACCTCACTCTGGAGAGCATGCTGAAACAGCTCAGCACTGGTGTGACTTCATTGACTATGCAACATCAAACACAGAGATCATTCACTATGGATGCTTTTGTTTTTGTTGGCTTATTTACTTGCATTTAGCCAAGGCAAATGCAAGTATCACATATATAATTGGTTTTACTGAACATGTCTAAAGATGTCTCTTCGAATAAAGGAATTTTCCCTGACTGGAAATGGGAACATAGGAACTTGTGATGCACCTTTTTAGTTGAATGTACTTTTGTTTTCTGTTCTTTAACCAATTTATACATTCTTGTATTTTTAGGGGTAAGAGCAGTATGTCATACCCATATCGACCAATTAGGGAGATAGCATGTATACAATTATTTTGCAACAACTTTGGTGCAATGCTTTTTGCATAATTACAGGGGTTAGAGAATATACAGTATATCAGCCTCATAATACAGGAACTAAACTCTAAATTCTCTAAACCTCCTGAAATTAAGAGTGAAATGTACTCGCTCCCTTTGACGCGCCATCTTTACATTCTTTTTGTTTTTGAAAATCCATCATAATTACAAGCTTGTCTGCCGTTGTTAGATACTGTCCTCAGTTTCTTTACATTGGACTACATGTCTGAGCGAAAATTATATTTCTACCAGTAGAAAGAAAGACATCATTTTGTTGCATGAAGTGCAGGCAAACAACAAAAATTTGTTTGAACTAGAGTACAGCATTTCAGGAAATTGATAAAGATATTCTTTGAAAAACTCTTCCAACATGTCTGAGCGAAAATTATATTGCTACCAGTAGAGAGAAAGACATCATTTTGTTGCATGAAGTGCAGGCAAACAACAAAAATCCTCTTATTTTACATTTGTTCAGCCATACCTCCATGGACATGATTTTTACCCCACACGTGTTTTTTCTCACAGAGGTTGCATTTTCTTTAATTAAATGATCAAAAGATATCAGTCTGGTGGGATGATGCTAAAGCAATGCATTCATCCTGTGGCCACCACCACACACTTGACCTTTGTGCAGAGCATGTGCAAAACTGTAGGCCTTGCTCAGTGTTCAAACAGTGACAGTGTCATCATAGATAAACCTCTTCATCTCAGCCAGAGGAGAAAAAAATAGTATGGAGATTTAATACAAGATAAAAAAGATTCCTTAAAGGAAAAAACATTTGATATGTAACACCTACATTGAACTTCCTTTGTAAGAGATTAGTCTCAAGTTAAAGCTGAACATGTTAAATGTTGATGAGTCATAAACATTTTGTGTGAATATAATTAAAGTGTCTTTGTGGTACTTAGATAATAACCAGGGTAACCAAATAATGCTGCTTACTTGCCCCATAAGATAGTGAGATCTTTTTTTAAAATAACAATTGGCGGCTTCTTTTTTTAAAATTAAATTTTCTTAATTATATTCAATTAAAATTACCAGAAGTGTATACTTCATTTTTCATCTAAAATAGTTTAGACAACTTTTCTTAAAAAGAGAATAACCCGATCCAGTTAGTTTTGCCAACATAAAGCCATTTTGCTTTTCTTTGCAACAAGCCACAAAACATTACTGGCATTTTATATAATCGGTCTGTAGATGCTGTCTTCTTTTGTGCATGACATTTTCAAGTGACAGATCATCCACAAGCTTATCTTCAAGTGTGAATAAACTGCCAGTAAATAATTGAATAGTTTTTTTTTCTTTATTGTGAATCCTACTGGTGAGAAAAGACAAGTAGTGAACCATGCATGCTACAATCATTCATTCAACGTTATTCTATCCATTAACATTTGGAATATTGATAAGAAACACTTTTTATGTTAAAATGGTGAACTCATAGATCTAAATCACAACAAACAAAACTCAACATAAATGTAGATTTAACAGTTACCTGTCTGTGGTATTAACCTGATATTAGAGCTTGTTCATATATGGGTGCACTCACAAAGTATGTGTTTCTTTGTTCGCATGGGCTATTTCAACATTAGACTACATAAAGCTTCCATTTATCATTTGCTCCCACCAGCAAAATAAAATTCAGCACAACAGCAGCTCTTGAGTCCACAGATATATCTGAGCTTTATTGACCCCTAAGCCTAAAGTTTAAGATGTCACTTATGTTCTATAGCACTTAAGTAGTAAACATCTTAAGTCTGGTAATTCTTATTGGTCATGAGACCTACATAGAATGGTGTTGTCACATGATCCAGAGTACTACATCATAAATATCAGTTACTGGCTATGAACGCTGACCTGCGATGGTGTCTGAAAATGGCGGCTTTAAGGCAGAAAAAGATCAAGTGAGGGACATCTAGTATGAGATGAGGTAGTAGTGTTATTAACTTTGTGACTCCAAACAACCTTCCAGTCATTACAGTGTTATCACTGATGCTGAATGACATGCAGATGCACTAATTAGAGAGATAGTGTTCTCCAAACGCACTATATAACAGTTTCAAGCGGAGGCAAACATGATAAACAAGATCTTTTGAAGATAACACCAAAGAGGCATGTTTTTTTTTCCATCTTACTTTCTCTGAAGAAATACAATAAAGACAGACCTCCTCCTCCCTCTGTGCCTCTCACACCACAGAACTAATAAGCCACCACAACCCCCCAAAAATTAAACTTAAAACATAGCAGTGCAGTGCTTAGCTGCAGTTTTTATAGCAGACAGAAAAGACTTGTGAAATTATCTTTCACAATACAATTTTCAGTTTTTACATAATCCATTTGGCCTTTCTAAGACAGAAACATCCTTTATTGATATTTTAAAAAGGATGTGTGCTTAAATTTCAGGATCACAACGTATCAGGATTGCAATATTCATATTTTTGCTGGTAAGTGTGCCTGTAAGTTCATTCAAGTTGATTAAAGTAAAGGACAAAGTTAAGCCTCCAAACTAATTCGAGATTCAGAAGCAAATATTACTTGGATTTGCAGTGACCTCATCTTTAAATTATTTTTCCAGGAAACGTCAAAACTGTTCTAAAATGTATTTTTTCTCCTAATATTTCACAATGATACCAGGTAAAACTAATTTCCGCAAATTATGTGGGTTGCCAGAGCTGAGTCATCACGCATGGTACGCTTTCATCCCAGATGGAAATAAAAGCTGTTTTTGAGAACTCAAGCAGTGAAAATGCCAAACAAGAACGTCAGAATACACCAGAATAGTAAGGCATTATTAAAGGTACTAATACATGATGGGCTAATTATTAACCAATCCCCTGAGCCTGATGAGAAACTGGCTCATATCCAGCCACCGTTGCCACATCTCATCCTTGGCCCTGTCACAGACGGCATCACCCCGTCTTCCACATGCAGGTGGGCATGTCAATGCCAGCCATTAGAGATGCACCCCACAGATGGGAAAAAAACAGCTTCTCTCAAAGTTCTCCAGGACAGTCCCTGGCACTCATACTCTTACTTTTATAATGCTACTCATCCCCACAAAGTGCTCCTCCAAGATAAATAGGGACTCTGTAAACCAGTGACTTCTCTAAAAAATTCCCACCATGGGCTTCTATCTGCGCTCACAGCTTGATTAATTTTAGTGCCCAGGAAGTGAAAGCACAAACAAAAAGACTGTTGAGCATAGTGACGGAAGAGGTATGTACTCAGATGAAAGGAAGACACAACTACCACAAAAGGAGTGAGTTTCTTTTTGTGAGTCTTTGTGAGTGTGTGGTTACTGAGGACTCATTCACAGACAGACATGCAGGGAGTAATAAAAGCACTGGTCTTTTGTCAAAACATCACCAACATTTTAGAAGAAGAGGATCTATAGCATTCACAGCTTTTTGAGAGGAGATGTCCTGTGTGTAATAACAGAGGCTTTAGAAGATCATAACATAGTGAAAATATCCTAAATCCCTCTACATTCAGATTCAACACGCAGACACAAAACATCTATCTCAATATCTTACAACAACTAAACAGTCAATTCAACCTAAACATGATTTTTATATATGAAACTATCTCTCATGTCTTTCCAAGTAAAGGGACCAGTGCCACAGGTATGTTTCTTCAGATTTGAGGACAGGTGCAATAAATCTGAAACAAAGACTAAGTTTGAAAAAGAAAATATCCACAGTCACAAGTTGCCATTCTCTTTCAGCCATTTTTTCAACATTTAACGCAATCCAATGATTATTGCTGCACTCTCATTACAGTAATAATGGAGGTCTTGATGGGAAGATAAGTTAAATGGAGTGAAACATGTCACTCACCGCCATGCACACAGACATGTGATGAGAGGTACATGACAGCTACTTGGCAACAGAGAGATGGATTTGTAATTTGCATATGTGGTAAACTGCAGGGCTGCTGCTGGTGTATAGGGCCAGTGACTTTCTATAAACAGCCTATTTCATTATCATTATAATTTCTTTCATGGCCCTGTATGAAGCTGCTGTACAAAAATACAAACAATCTATCTTCCATCAGAGCTTCTGTGATGTTTTACTCCCTTTTCAGTTTGTTCTCTGCATCAGGTTTTGTTTCACCTGCCGCTAAACTTTTGGTACTTGATGTCTTAAATTTAACTATTTCATTCGACACTGTTTCATCATCAATGTAGCTGTGATTGAGTTGTGGTCAACTCAATCACATGGCAGAGCTTTAAGTACCTGCCTTTAGTTTCACAATAAAGATTAAAAAGTGATACAGTTGCTATGTTTTTTTTAATTATTTTTCCCTCATGGATACTGCTTTAGTTTAAATTAATTAAAAGGCTTACGCTTACGTTTCACAAATGTCTTTGCCAATGAGTCTGTTTGTGCCTACAAGAACATTGGTACTTCTGACTGATCACTGTTTTCTAAAAAAAATATTACATGTGTGCGGTCACGCCAAACCAGTGACAATAATTTCCATAACTTTTACACATATATCATGTGAGTAGTTTACATGAGGTTGTTTGCATGTTTGTGTGTGCATTGTAATCTAGAATGATTTGATTTGTTGCCACGTACTTTGACTCAAATAAAACTTCACATGATGACAATCATCACACATTAGAGAAACATTTCTCAATTATACTCAGATGCATTGCCTCTGGAAACCCTAATATTTGTGCAACAGGTCAGTGTTTTTTCCAAGCTTAAATGTAGTCCCTGGCAAAGGATGTTTCTGAAGTTTAGCTCTCAAACTAAGAGAGATCATATGAATCTCTGGAGTATTATACATCCGATACTAACCTTACGCAAAAGGAATAGATGGATTATCTTAATCTTAATGAATAATGGGTCAGATTTCTAAAAGGTGTAAAAGTATTGACAAGAAAATTGAGCTATAAAAAGGAATTTGGAAATTATAAATTAGATGTACAGAAATATCAGGGAATCATATGCGTCATAGACAACCTAACCAAGTTACCACCCAAAATCTTGATTTTTTTGGTTTCAAGTAATAAAAATTGGCAAATACAGTGTTTAAAAATATTTTTAATACAGTGTCAAATATGCTGTTGTTTTCACTAAAGATACTTTTCTGTCTACTTACCTGAATTGAAACATCACTATATGATCCTCCAATGACCCCAGAAATGGCCAGCGGAACCTCATTTTGGATGGGCCTGGAGCCGTCTGGACAGATGAAGCCTGGATCCTGCACCTTGGTGAGGGAGGCCCTGACAAAGTCAAGGGACTGCTCCAGAGCATAGGTGTCCTTGGAGCAAGTATCAAGGATGTGGGCACCCAGCTGGACTCCAGGAAGGATGCGATCGCTGGAGTTAATCTCATCAAGTGCCAGCAGCATGGCCTCCAGTCTCTGGATCCCTCTTTCAACGTTGATCTTTCCACAGTCTTCCATCCCTTCACCCTTCTGATGCACAGGGAAAAGGCCTCCGATGACCAGGTCCCCATCAAGGATGATCTCGCGTTTAGCTGGAGGGGGTAGTCTGGAGGTGCTTGGCAGGGCTCCTGGTATCAGCAGCTCCAGCAAGACCATGTGGAGAGGCCAGTAACGGACAGGGCTTGCCCACCACTTGGGGCAGAGCATGGCATGCAGCATGGTGGGATCAGGTGGCAGGATTTAGTTAGCTGAAGTGGAGTTGGCTGGATGTTCACAGAGTCTGCAGACAGTTTCCTTTAACGTCTTCTGTCAGGGAGTGCAGCATGTCTGATTTTCTCTGAGCAAATGAAAAGACGAAAGAATGATAAGTAACAACAAGTATGTGTTTCTCGATAGATAGATAGATAGATAGATAGATAGATAGATAGATAGATAGAT